AAATAATAATAGTACCTTCTCTTTATATTTTGTATTTTTATTTATAATTGTAATGAATCATATTTGCCGGCGTTTCGTATTTATTTTGTACTTACACATTATTTGTAATTAATTTAGTTATGTAAGACGTTTGTTTTCACTTGCTTCTCTTTCTTATAGTATTGGAAAATTTTGTTTGTTAAAAAAAACTTTTGGTATAAATAACAAGTCAATCGAAGTAAACCTAACTATATTTGGACCTCAGTTATTTAGGAGTCATTAGAAGACCATATTAATTTTATTTAATTACTTCGAAAACCAGATGTCTCAGTCCCTTCGGCTGTCTACGAAACCGTAGTTTCGTAAATGGTTTCGACGAAGGAATTATTCCTCTTTGTATGAAACCTCGGTTACGTACAACGAATTTTTGCAATTTTTCAAAGATGCACGTGTAATAGACTTGAATAAAAGTGGCACTAAAAAATCTAAGAATAACATAAAATAGGTTTCAGAAGTCTATAAATGAATAAAAAGAAAATTAAATAACTGTAGGCCATTGTTGAGAAATCATTTGCTGGTATGCTATATTTTTTTGTTTTTTTTTTTGAACTAATTCTATTGTTTAAAAAGGATTCGCGACGCGACTCTCGTACTATAACTAAGTTGCAATTTCTGTTTTAGTTATTAAATACATATATAATAAAATTTAAAATATAAATTGTTCTGTAATTTTGATATTTTATTAAGGGGGGCTTACTTGGTTTCAATAAATTCTAATTTGACTTACAAAAAATCCTTCTATATAAGACAGGTAATTCCTCCATGAAAGAAATATTTTTCCGTAACTAGTTTAGTTACGTGCAAGGAAAAATATTTTTCCGTAACCAGTTTAGTTACGTGCAAGGAAAAATATTTCTTTCTTCGAAACCTTAACAATAAATTACTTGTATGTAACCATGATCAATCAACGCGGTTTCGTACAAAGAAGAATAATTCCACCATCGAAACCAGTTACGAAACTACGGTTTCGTGGATGGGCGAAGGGGTCTCAGTATCGAAGTTGATACTAAGAAATCTGGACTGTATATATGTTGTTTGTGTTTGGTAATGGGAATTTAAACGATACCAATTCTTCTTATTAATGTATAATATACGATCAGTGAGAATAACAAATTGTGTTGCGTTAGTTATAAAAACGGTTTTTAGGAGGAAATAGATATTGTAGTTTTGTCACATTTTCTCAACTCTGTTGCCTTTAAAGTAAATCTAGTGCCTCTTTAAGGGACCAAATTAGGTAACTATATTGAATATATTTTTCATAGTATCGTACTACTAAACAATTCAACTTTTGAGACATACTGTTTAGGTTTTGTATTTGACTGATAGCTTAAGTATTTTATTGATACTTAAAGGCAGAATCAGCTAACTACACATATCATTCACGTATAAACGATGTGCACGAAATATTATACTTCGTTACTTATATAAGACATTTAACTTTTTCAAATGTTATAATAATGTGTTGTAAAACGCGCCATGCAGAATAAGTATTTAGTTGTTTATGTAACATCACTGGCCTAGTCACAAACCAGGTATAGTTAAATATACAGAACACAGAAAGAGGTTTGAAGGGCCTTGTGGCCGGGGCAGGCGCGCGCCACAGTTGTGTGAGCAAATGCTCACAACTTGACCTAAACTCAGTTCTGATTGCGTCGTTGCTCTCGGGTGTGAGCACTGATTGGGTCGATTGTTTGAGGTCGCGTCGTTTGATTGGCTATTATCTATTATGTGGAAGTGTAGTGGGGGCGAGCCGGCGACATCGGTTCCCCGTACAAACGGTCTATGAGCACCCTTCTAAGCTCTTTCTGTGTTTAAGTCACTTGGAAAACGAAAAACTTTTTTTTGTTTAAGTAGCATTTATATTAGTGAACTGACTTTTGTAACAAATAATAATAAAATATGTATGCTCATTTCAAATTGTTTATTTATACAAACGAGAGGTTGTGTCAATTAAATAGGTATTAAGTACTAAATTCTCTATTCTCTAAAAGAGTATATTGTTGTAGTAAACGACAATGAGAATTATAATGACATGATTGGTTCATTACAAAGATATAGTGCGATTAAAACTTTACTGGGTCATGGACTTAGCAATGTGCTCAACTATGCGTAGTTCAGTACTCTTATCACCAATATCGAAATCGAATCGTTTGCGAGTGCGAAATGTCAATGTCAAATTATGTATGGAAACTTCATCAGCGCCACAAAGTTTGTAACAAGAACTAAAAATCAGTGCACATTTGACAATAACATTTCTAACTCGCAAACGTTACGAATTCGATATTGATACGTGCTAAGGGTACAGTAACCCTAGCACGAACTATTATCGAATTCGAATAGTTTGCAAACCGAAATTTCAATGTCAAACTTAGTTCTCAAATTTTTAGTTCTCGTTACGTACTTTGTGCCGCTGCTGTTCAAGTTTCCATACAAAATTTGACATTGACATTTCGGTTTGCAAACTATTCGAATTCGATAGTGGTTCGTGCTAGAGGTACTGTTCAGTAAAACGGGAAAAACGTCGCGTGTACAGTGCGACCGAGATCGTTTGGCGCGTGACCGAAATCGCAACTAGTTTTAAAAAGGTACAAATACGCCTTTTATTTATAGAGGAAGTTATAAATAAGCCTTATATATTTCCTATTAATCTTTCCCGAGTTAGTGCGAGGTCGCACTACGGTTTTTTCCCGCAAGCGGTAAACCGCAAAACCGCGAAACCGCCCGAAGCACACACACTACGATTAAAAACCGAAACTAGACACGATTTATCATAGTTTGAGGATGGATTTCAAGAGAGCTGTATGTATTGTTGCTTTATACTAAGAAATAGATAAAGAAAACGTCGTCGCAAATTTCGTAAATATATTGTATGGACTACAAATTTTGGCGCGGTTTTTACCCGCGAGCCATTCTGTAACAAATCACGGTTTTAAAATCAGTCGCGGGAAAAAACCGCTGGTGCGGCCGCTTGCTTTAGTTTCCATGATTCACAAAACTACGCGGTATAAAACCGCGGCGGTTTCACCGTAATGCGGCCTAGCACTTATTGCTGAATTTATAACGTTCCCTTAATACCATTTACAGCAATTAGTAGAAAACAAAGAATTACAAACATGAAGATTCACACTCATTTTTCTCGCAAAACAATAGGCAGTCATACATTATTTTATTCCATCCATCTGCATACACATCACACTCAGGCTTATCAGCCAGGAGCGCATTAAGTTCAGTCATAATGCGGCAAGGAGGAGAGTGAGCGCGGGTAACAGTGCGGGCAAACGGTGGTGCGAAGAGACGACGCGGATGGTTAAGTGGTGCCGCGTATATCGGTCAGGAACGTACAACCGACTAAGTTCATTGTGTAGATCTGGAGCATTCATAATACCACGGATTATTTTGATGCCAATCGATAGTTGGTTCCTTGTCCTACGCGCTCTAAGAGAATTTAAGCCAAGAGTGCCCAAGAGAAATACAGTTGGGTAAAGGTATGGGTAAAAAGTATAAATGCGTTTATAAAGATATCTTAGAAATGCCTTCTGAACCTTCTCAAGCAACAGGGTATATGTGATGACTTTTCATGTATTTATTAATCCTCATTTCACCACTTATTCTTCAGTAGCGCGCTCCTTTCAATATCATCTACTTAGATGAACACTTGCCAACAGATTTTGGTCGCACCATATCGACAGTGGGAAATCAAAGGCGCTTAAATGTCACTTTAATAACTTTACAGAAACGAGGATCAAAGTTTTTTTTTATTTTCACAAAAAAAAAACACTACTTGTAAATGAGAAGTAGCGCCTCCTATTAAAAAGTTACATAGTGCCTTTACGAATTAGATCTCGCTTGAGCGAAAATCACTCGGCCCGCCATATTTTGTGTCAAGCAAACAGATCATACGCCAAATATAAGTATAGTTTAGTAAGCGCCATTGGTTCAAAAATCACCAAAATTTTTGTCGCTTTAGCGTTGTGAACAATAAAAATTAAAAATAACTTAATTGCTTAAGCGAAAAAAGTACTCAATTGTTCACGAAATATAAACAGGTCGATGCAGAAAAAATCGGATTTAAATGATATCTATAGATATATATAAAATTCTCATGTCACGGTGTGCGTAATTGAACTACTCTGAAACGGCTCGACCGATTTTCGTGAAATTTTATATGCATATTAAGGTTGATTCTCTTAATTTTTTTTTTGGACAAAATTTATTGTTTTTATTTTTTTATGATACATCATACTAAAATACATACAACCCTAAATTTTCACCCTTCTACCACCAACCCTTATTTTTGAAGTGAAACTTCTTTATCGGCGTTGGAAAAAAATTTACCGTCACATTTTATTCGGTTACGCGTCACGTTATTTGGTTACGCGTCATCTTTTTTTATATTAATAGTTGATAGCTGAATGATCACACTGTCGCCGGCGAGAACTCTCTCTACTCGTTTGTAGCTGAGTGACAATAGTTATTAAAGATAAGACTCGCTCAGCCAAACTCGCATAGCGATACTCGCTCAGCGGTACTCGCTCAGCTATACTCGCTCGGTTAAGCTGGCTTGGCTGTCAAAAGCCGTGCGCGTGCATTTTAACTCAGGACTGCCAATTCGTTTCTAGTTTCTACTCGCTTATCGTTCATCGTCGGAGGTGGAACATGTGCCTTAGATTACTGAGCCGTGTAATCATAACAGTTTCATAGGCAGTAATTTGTATTCATGTCTATGATAATAAAATCCTTTTGTTTAAACTTTATCTAATTTAACTTTATTTAACCAATTTCTGGAAAGTTGCATGTAGATCATTTTTCGAAAAATAAGGCCATAAAGAAGTTTCACTTCTTACGTGTGTACACTAGTACACGTACAACTTATTTTCGACCAATGTGGCGTATAAGCGGTTTTGACTTTCCACTGTCGATATGTGTCTAAATTTCGTTTACTTGTGCTAGCATCACAGCCGTTATAGAGTATGAATCGCACCATTTTTCTTTATTTGTCGTTTCGGCACCACATCTCCTTGACCGGAAACGATTCCATACGGTCGCAGGTGGTATATCAAATACTCCAAAGCGTACATCTGTTTCGGACTCACGTAGTGGAAACTGATGGCGAAGTCCGAACAGCAGTTCAAACCCTGTTGAAATAATGCATGTCATAGAGTGACGTGGTGTCCTCTCCTATCGCTATTATAAAGAAAGTGTTAGCATCAACTTTAATCAAACTTTATAATAATAATAATAATAAATATTTCCAACACTCACACCAATTAGCCTAGCCCCAAAGTAAGCACAGGAAGGCTTGTGTTATGGGATACTAGGGTAACGGAGAGAATACATATAAGTAAGTATATTTATATAGAAATACATAATAAACATCCAAGACTGGAGTACAAATGCTCGTATTCATCACACATGTGCCCCCACTGGGATTCGAACCCCGGACCTCTCGAGTCGGCGACACCATGAAACCCGGCGTAGATGATCGCATGGTCAAAAACCATATAAGGCATTATTTAAACATTGAAAGTCACCTTTAACACATACTTACTGTATAAGGTCTTAATTAAAACCATGCGTCAAAGACTTCTGACAGTTCGAAATGCAAGCTCGTAAAATTTTACGACTTATTGCTATATGCGGAAGAATATAGACCTTATTCATTTGACTCTACGCGCAATTCTGAGTGCGCTGTTAGCAATATAGCAGGCACGGACCACGAGGAAAAAATAGGGCTTTACGGCGACGTATAACCGACTTTGTATTTGAATATCGCAAATATTTTATATTGATTCAGTTTACAGTAAGTATTAGAACAAAATTTGCTGGAAATGCGTTAAATTAGTAAACATTGATTAAATACCTGTCGAAAAAACGACACTTTTCGTATTATAAGTACTTTTTTCACGGAGCTCTGTGGCATCTTCTTGACTTTGTAACGGTCCGCGCGTGACTGTGAACCAATAAGTGCTTGAGTGGAGATCAAGCACTTCTTGATTGGGACTATTTTTAGCGCTCGTGGTATATCTAGGTTATTTCATATCGTTGTGCTTGGGCCTCTGTATCGATAGCACAGCAGTCATTGCATTCGCCCGGATAGCAAAAGGTGCAACTTCGAATCCAGTCTGAATAAAGCTAGACCAGAGTTTAATTCAAATAAATATTAGTATTAAAATAAAACTCGCCTCATGAAACGCATAATAAGCGTATTCATTGTACCAAAACTTGGGATCCTGACTGGGCATTAGGTGGTTTTCCGGGAGGAATGGGAAGAACCGCCCGCGCCCGGCCTCATCTCGGCTGTCCACCGCAAGCACTCCGAGGTTCTGGAGACACTGACCTGACGAATAAGTTATAAACCCATGTACAGGTCGCGGCACGTAACTCTAGCGCTGAACAAAACGCGGAGGGGATAGCTGCTCATGGGTACGGCAATCGGCGCACCTCGTTTTCCCCCAACACCAAGGGCGGATCCAGATGGACCAAACACAGGGGGATTTTATTTAAGTACTTACCCCCCCATGGCGCCAAAGCTGGCTATATGACCCCCCCCTGGCGTCAAAGCTGGCTCTATGACCCCCCCCCCCCCTGGCGCCAAAGCTGGATCCGCCCTTGCCCAACACATCTTAATTTTTACTTCTGCGCAATAACGGCCAGTGCTAGAGTTTCGTGCCGCGGCTTATACAGTGCGACAAGGATCTTTATGAATGCATCAGTGGCAGTGAGGGTGCCAGTGGTGTGGATTCTAGCATGATTCTCTAAACCTAAACTTAAATTTGACAGCAGTATATCCTAGTTATTCTCTATACAGCATGAAAAGGAGAGACTGATGTTAAATGTAGTTTTAAGTTTAGAGAATCACGGCAGAATTGGCACCACTGTCTATGTAAACGACATACAAAATATTAACGTTTACAAAGACGGCGGCGTTAGTTCCAATTTTCGCCACATTCATAAAGATCATTATCTCACTATTTTAACAGGAAAGAACTCTTCATCTTGGCAATTTGTATGCCGTCAGATTGATGCTGGAAACAAGAAGAGGTAATAATAAGTAGGTAATTGTAAAAAAAACGGAATGTAAAGGCGCTGTCCCACGTTCTGTGTTGGCACGGGCGAGGCCGCGCCGCGCAGTGTTCCCAAACGTATGCAACCTGCTCCAAAGGTTTATCAAAGAATTAGACAAGAAGCCCTAATGCTTTGTGCGATTTCAAACCCACAGGATTCTTACTAACTTACATTTTAACTCTCCTAAAACGGCCCGTAATCAAATATATTCTATGATGTCTTTTCGTCGACATCAAATAAACAATCGGATGGACAAAGCAAGAAATACAGGGCAATATAAGAATTTAATTATACAGGAGGAGAGAAAAAATAAAAATTATGAGCTATTTCAGGATAAAATACCAAATTCTAAGTCCTCGGCCCCACGATCATCGTCTGAACATAGTTTTGGCGATGACAGACCTGTCTGTACAAATCTTGTGAGGGCTTCCTTGCTGATCACATAACCAGCGCCACCGCTCATGAAGCCCTTTAACAAAACGTTACTTCATTAAAAATACTTCCATTTTTGTACCTACGTAGTACTCAAGTACGGAGTAGCAAATGTGTGCTAAATCTTTAGGGGATAAAAAATATTTCCTTCTATTTTTGAAGTGAAAAATTCTTTAGCGGCGTTGTACACTTTTTTTGTAATGGGTAAAAATGTCAACTAACTAACAAATGAAATAACTCGCGTCAGGACACGTGGCCTGATCGAAAATTTGTAAGTACATTTTTTTACAATAGATGTCGCTAGGTGCGCTTAAATGTGATTCATGTAAGTTGATTTTTCTGAGAGATAAACTTTTTAATGTAATATATTGTCATGTTTGTGTACGATAGCGTAATAAATAAATATTGTAATCTACCACATAAATGATAGTAATTTTATACTGGAAATTAAAGCAATTCGTGCAAAATTATTCCCAAACCATTCCAAAATATCAAAAATGCACAACGTTAATATTCAAGTTTTCTGCCGGCACTCTTGGAGTGCGACCCGTCGCTTTTACCTACGTAGTACTCGACTACTAGGTGGGTTAAATGTGCACAATCCTCAGGGGATGGATGCGTGAATTGTTTGACAATCCCCAAACTAAGACTACTAGCCGTATTATGAACGCTTAATCCCAGGCATGTTGAAGTGGGATGCTGTTCTACTGTGCGCATGTGATGTCTTGCTCTAACAATTGAACTTGCCTGGCATTGATAGCTGATAATACGGCATCAGAACTAGAAAAACAAACTAACCTGCTTTACAAATTTCTTGTAACGACAACCGAAATACAAGGGGTCCAACGTGTCATAATCTGCCAGCATGTATCTGAGGTTTTCTACAATCACGTATCTGAAAATTTTTCGATATTATCTGTGTAAGAATGGTTTTATATCAAAATAGAAAATGACGGCTCCTGCCTGCCTTGAAAATAATTACACTAAACTTACCACTATTGATTTTGATGACTCGAATAAATTCTGCTTAATATGAGAATGCTTAAAAAAGGTAGTGTAAGATGGGTGCGTAACAGAAAATACTTTTTTTCTGCGGTCCAAACACATGTTTTGAGCAGCTCTGTAACATATCGCATCGTCAATTTCTATGACAACTAAGTAGGGACTTAGCGGACGTAATAACAAAATAGCTTTTTCAACATATTTGCTCAAACATTGTATTTACGGAGGTTGTACACATTCAAAATTACGGGCCATACAACGGAGCGTACGGTAAAACTTTTTACCGCACGCTCCCATTACATGGCGCCGTGCGTATCCTTTACGGTTTGTTCTTGATTTGTAACTTTTAATTTAAAACTCGTGCTTGGGGATCTGTTCTGAGCAGCCTGCTTGGGCGCGGCGATAACGTACTTTGAGATTGATTAAGAATAAATGATGTGAAAACCGATTAATTAATTGTAGCTTATAGCTCACGTGTCGTCGTCCGCCTTGAGGAACCAGTCTGCGTCCCTCCGGTGTCGCTCGTACACGTAGCGGAACGCCTCCTTGGTCTTCGCCCACAGGTGGTCCCGGCCTTCGCTCACTGGCAACTCCACCGTTGGCAAATTGGGATCTGTATTGTTATTTTTCATTTGAAAAGGAGAATCACGATAGCCCAATAACAGCATTCGGTATGAGACAGCGATCGTGGAAATTAAGCCGCGTTGACCATCATAGAGGTATAAGAATAGAGTAGGGGAGATATAGACTACTAAAACTGGAAGTGTCCCTCTAATAGAAAGATTAAGAAGATGAGAGACCGCTAGCTTTCTCTCTCTAATCGCGCATGCGCATTGGCAACCGTAAGCATCTTATTATTTCGATGTGATGCCATTGCATTGGATGCCATGCGTCACAAGAGAGAGTGATAGCTAGCGGTCTCTCATCTTCTTTCTCTTTCTACTAGAAGGACACTTTTTGAGCCGCCTTCCCCACTCTATTCTTATACCTCTATGGTTGACATACTCAAAGTCTGCTTTGACAAAGTAGCCTTGATGGCTATTTGAGGTAGGTAACTTTGATTGAATAAACTAGCAATCAAAGCGCAATTTGACGTCAGCATCATATCAAAGTGGACTTGGACCGTACTCAACTTTTGTCAAAGCAGATTTTGAGCATGTCAGCGCGGTTTTAAGCAATCTGCGCCTCTCGGTTTAGGTGTTAGATTTAAACTAGTGCCTTCTGCTGTCCGGGCAGGTGCACTTGCCGCTCGCTTGGCCATTCGGAGACGGGTTCCGCGACCACACCCGCCCTCTCGGCACGCACTAGGAGGACCGCGGTCCTCATAGTGCGTGTCGGGTGACGGTGCAGGAGTATTGTCTGGTTTTAGTGGCCCTGTTCACAGCTTAGGTAGGGCCCTGTTCACCTCAGCGAGCCCCATGGCTGGCTGAAGGGGACAGGGAGGAGTCCCACATACCTTCTTCTCGCTCCCCCAGTGGTTGAAGGATGTGTAATGCATTTCCCAGGGATAAAAAAAAAGTGCACTAACCGCTATGCTACGGAGACATAATTTTCTTGAGATCCCCCGTGCTCACGTTACACACAGTTGGCGAATGCCTCTGCAATCGTTGGTAACCACCAATCCGCACTGGGTTCCTATTATGGGTCATCACGGTCTTTCTCTATTCCACCCGTAAGACAGGCCTGTACTCCAGCAGTGTGGACATTAATAAAATGATAATGTTTTACCTTTCGATGTGCTCATAAACAGAAGTACATTACATCTCTTCCCCCAAGTCGCTTTAATGTAGGCAGCCTTGGCTTTGTGATTCTTCGGATGAGTCATCACCCAACAGAGTATCCTGACTCGCTTGTATAACTCGTCAGCTATAGTTCGATTTTCATCCTTATGATCGAACGCATCAGGGTTTATTTTGTGATCTGCGCTTGGTGGAATATTTATGTTTTGGCTAAATAGAACAGTGAAATTGATAGTAAAGTCAAGTAAATTACTTTATATTTTTATTTTTGAAGCATTTAACTGTTAGATGTTTAAATCTAAGGAAAATTTTACTAGAAAAAAATCCACGCGGAGCAGGCGTCGGTCAGTGCATCCGCCCTGATAACGGAGGGTGCGGGTTCGAGGTCCGCCTGCTGCCTGGTCCGCGTGGAATATTTCTAGTAAAATTTTCTTTAGATTTAAATCATTACTTAATAGGTATTATGATCTTATGACACCGACATAGTTCAACGGATCGCCAAGCCGAAGTGGCAATGGGCGGGCCACATAGTTCGGCAGACCGATGGACGTTAGGGTCCCAAGGTAATTCAAGGGCGACCTCGCACCGGGAAGTGCCGGTAGACCCCTCACCAGGTGAACTGACGACATCAAGCGAGTCGTTAGGACCATGGAGCAAATACAATTGTATTTTCTCCATGGATGGGACCCACTGGATGTGGAAAGCGCAGGCTCATTGTATATGGAAATCCCTTGAGGCGGCCTATGTCTAGCAGTGGACTTGCATCCGCTGATGAGGGTGAGGTATTTTGCTTATTCGTGTGACCTATCGACCTGCAGCTATGTTCTGCTGTGATCTAGACATATTGCTTCCGTTAGATTAAATAAATAAATAAATATTTCCAACACTCACACCAATTAGCCTAGCCCCAAAGTAAGCACTGTAAATGCTTGTGTTATGGGATACGAGGGTAACGGATAAAATACATATACTGTAAATATACTTATATTTATATAGAAATACATATTACAAATGCTCATATTCATCACACAAACATCTGCCCCCACCGGGATTCGAAACCGGGACCTCTCGAGTCGGCGTCTCACTCGGCTACGGAGGTCGTCAAAATATAGATTATAATGAAGATGCAAACAATACGTGGTAGTGCTTTTTGTGTGGCCATGCGTTAAGCATTAAGTTGTTCACTCTAACTCACCTTAACCCCAAATTTCTCGATAGTAAAAAATAATAATAGTTCAAGGAAAATCCAATGGAAAAACCTATTACAATAGAAAACACTTGTGTTCCACTGAGCCTACATTCTGCTTTAGCTACAGACTGTAGAAAATTAATCATTTTCGAAATATTTTATCGTTATTGTAGTACTCGTACAATAAGCACCCATTTACGAAGTGCTTGAGTAATGTAATATTAGGTTATAATTAAAAACAGTGATTGAATTACATCATAAATATTTTATCGAGTGTTATTCAATTACTGTTAAAACTCCTTTAAAATTATTTTAAATGTTTTAAGTCTGTTTTTTTTTCTTAACTAGCTTTATAGAGTATGAGAGTGCGTAACCAAACTCTCTATAAAGCAAAAAAAAACAGTGGAAATAAAAAAAACAACTATTTGTTGTCTCCTAAAAAATATTTATTGGGTTAAAACAAAATATACATTGAGCAAATCAAATAAATAACATATAATAAATTATCACAGATTTGTGATATGATTATTTTGAATAATTTTTATTGCAAAGACATTAGTACATTCGATAGAATCGTAAAATTTAGTTTCGCTAGTACTCAATCGTTGATCCAAACAATATTTTGTCCTTAGATTTAGAAGTAACAAAACACATTATATTATTTGTTTGTTATTAAATGAATGACGTCCAAAAAGACAAAAATCAATAAAAATCATAGATGTATCTTATAGCTACATGTACCTTATATTAAAAATCATAATATATTTTACTTATGGAACTTCCAAAACGACATAAAATGCATTTATATCTTCGTGATTTACTTACGAAAATGAGTTTCAAGAAAAAATGATTTTGTTTTGAAAATGCTACATAAATTATATTCAAAATAAACAAAATGCATTACTTCAAAGAAAAATATTTTTCTATAATTGTAGAATTCACATATTTAACTATTGTTACTGAGGCAGCTTACAAACTCATAGCTTTGTAAGAGCAAAGGAAAATACTCCCCATGTTATAATGTAAAAAAGGAAAAAAAAATGCAAATATTTTCATAAGATTGTATATAACAAGTTTCTTGTTTAGGGCGACAAATGGAAAGAGATGGAACGACCATGAAATTTTAGTATTTTTTTATACTAATAACCAACCACCTACCTGATGTAAGAATGAGTGGCAATATTAAATCATTTTTGTGGACTGAGTGATTAAAGCGTAGCGTGGTTCTAGCATGATTCTCTAAAGCTAAACTTTTTGACAAGTCTATCCCCGACATTCTCTATACAGAATGAAAAGGACAGACTGATGTTAAATTTAGTTGAATCCTGCCAGAATCGACTACACTTTCCCCCTTATTAATTAACGAGGAATAAGCTTGGACTAGTTACGCTGTGTTTTGTTCATATCACTTAAATGCCATTTGTCATTCATTGAACAGAGACAAAACATGGAGTAACCAATAGGGTATTTGACAGTATTAAAAATAAAGTGCCAATTGTTAGCATCTGTATTTAGAATGAGTATTGGCAGGAGTTACTATTTTTACAGAAAAAATATTCATAATGTTGCTAACAACCCACAATATAGATAATAGTATTCTTGTCTATTGTCACGTGACCCAAAACGCTTTGGTTTGGTGGACCCTAAAACGACGTCACACGCAAGTAAACTCCCGGTTAAAGTGACATTAGATTGTATGGTTTGACGTTTTAATGACAGTCGTGTGACGTCACAAACCAATGAGACGCCATATTGTCCAGAGATACGTTTTTCGCGGCAAATTGAAAATAGAGTTTTTGATTTAGTTTTTTTTAACCGAAATACACAACATAATGATGAATATCCACTTTTAATGGACTCATAACATTAGTAAATAGCGTGAGATCGTTTTCTAAAACTTGTCATATACCCTAGTCAAGCTTATTCTTTGCTTATGAATAATGGTGTAAGAGTATAAATGAAAAATACACTTAAACTAGACTAGATATGCAGTGTTTTGTTCACATCACTCAAATATCATTTGTTATTCGATTAACAGAGACAAAACACTGCGTAATTTACTACTATCTAGTCAAATATTAATTTTCCTATATTAAGATAGAGGTAATTGGAACGTTAAACTATTTTTCGCAAGATTTCTATTGTATTACAAAAAGGAATAATTGTAACTTGTCTCATCTGTGAATTCATTCGATTTGACGCATATCCTTGTCAATTTATCTATTTTAAAATCATACAATTTCATATATCTTTATTGTTAAAGAGTCTTTGGTTATTTTACAAAAGTTTCTAACTTAAGACTAGATTACTAAAATGACTAACGAATTTATTATATTAATAAACTGACGATTCGCTAAAATATGTTGGATGTAATTATTCAAACTAGATTAAACGCTTTTCTGGCATAATAAACACTTAAAAAATATCGTTTTAGCGGTTATTGCAAATATTTCAACAAACCTACTTACTAAATAATGTTCTTATTTTTTTCACTAGGCAGAATTTCTATAGGTATCACTTGTACCTTAAGTCAGTAATATTTTTATATAGTTTCAGTTTACGTAATTACATCCGACTTCAAATTTAAATTTATAATCTACATTATTTATTAGAACAAAAAAATATATTAATAAAGAATTCTTTTTTCTCATATTTACAAATAATTTAACATAAAAAGCATTATATAATTGATCATCAAAGTAAATGCTAAAACGACCCTGCCAAGTAAACCTTAACTTTACTGTTAAAAGTACACTTAATTATTATCCTAAATAGGCGATTGACTAAAAAAATATTATGGCAAGAACGCGACCAGTGCACACATTATTAATTCATATATTTGGACTAAACAAAGGAACTCAAGTAATTATATAATCCAACAAATCAAAGCATACAAATTTTGAAAGCTGTAAAGCAAAATATTGCCTGTGCCAGTCAAAAAAGTGTAAACCCTTATCTAATTATTTAATGATTTTTAAAATGCTATTTTATTATCACTGAGCGCTGAGTCCCATACATAAGTCACATTTTGCATTGCCAATGTCCATAGCCAACATTGTATTCTTAGATTTGTTGAACTACGTATAAATGGTTTTCTAAACTTCATTTACTTTTACTACATAATTGAGGAACTCATATAAAGGATAACTTCCCTCCTTTATGTGCCGCGACATCCAAACACTACAGTTTACATTATAACGCCATTGCGCTATTTTGAACCGATGCCGAAAGCTATAAATTATTGCCTTTACTAATTTCACAGTGGCATTTATACACAAATACATTCCAAAGCAATAAAAATTTTGTAAGCTAGCGAAATATTGCTATCACGTTATATGCTTATATAAACCACATAAACCATAGTAATAGCTTAAGCAATATAGTCAGACGGGTTTCCACCTAGGAGCAAACCTATTTTGCTAGACAAGGCAAGCTAACCACTCAATTACAAGTTTAATTTTGTTATTTATTTCACCTCACTACTTAAATATTTTGAAAAACTAACAAGTGACATTTGGGAATTCAATTGGGGACCCACCAATTAGCACTGGGCCCGCGTGGTGGGTCACGGCCCCATCTCCCTGTTCCATCCATAGGGAAGGCCTGTGCCCCAGCAGTGGGGACATTAATAGGCTGATGATGATGATGATTTGGGAATTGTCACTTACTAGTTTTTCAATTTGGGAATCAACACTTACACCTGCTTATTTATATTTACAGAATTTCTTATATAAATCACTATTATACAATTAGGTCTTTGTTTAACTTCTGTATATTCGATATAAACATCTGTCTTTTTATTACGTCGATTATTGAAATAATTTAAACTATTGTGGGGCATATTTTTATAACCGCTCGTAAGTGAAGGAAAGTTAAAAACATTTCGATGAGATCTTTTACGTAGACAAACAAACGTTGCGACATCAATGCATTTAATAGCTATATCTTGAAGAAAAAATTACACCGTGTATGTGATTAGTATAAAATTAAATAGATTTTGGCACAGAAAAAGGCAAAAAACTTATTCGCTTCTCGAATTAGGCAGTAAGGTTGCGAGAGCAAGATCTACTATCTTCATTTTTCAAGTCATTTATTGATGTCAATATTAGTATTAAAGTGTTGCAACATTATACGTACTTATTTATTTATTAGTCTAAAACTTGACAAACTTACTGCTGGAGTCGCTATTAAATTGAGTAATTTGTATATAAAAAGATTGAACGGAGTTTATCATGACAGTTGATTTCACGCGTATACATAGAGTCTGTGCGGAAAGAGAATGGGATTTAGATTGGAGGGCGCTGTAGTGCTTTTCTACCGTATTTGTAAGGTTTTACCCCTTCTAGACATGATAAAATTAAAACTGCAAGAAATCACAACAAAAAACAAATCCGTATCAATACAAAACTTTGACATTTCATAGATTGCTGGGTTTGATTGCCAAATAAAAATCTTAATGTTACTTCCGTTTTTCGCCACGCCCATTCTCTTTCCGCACAGACTCTAACAAAATTATAGCATAAAAATAAGAGTCATATATAATTACACTTTACCTTACAATATCGAAGTAAAATTATGGTTTAGAACATTTCTTTTATATAAACTTACGAGCTATTTATTTTATATTAACAGACTTCCGTTTCGCCATTTAAAAAAGCTTACGTAACGGGCGCTACAAAAGATTTAAGTTTTTACTTTGCACCTTACACGAAGCACTATAAAGTTGAGATTCATTCACACCTCAAAAGTAAATATGCAAAATTTATTGATAAACTTACTAACAGCCTTCCCTGGCAAAAGACAGCACTTGCTTTCTTAGTTTTTGTACCCAAAAAATATGTCACTTTCTATGGTAAATACAATCCAAAATTTAAGATCGGGGAATCTACTCTTTTACTCCGAAACGAACTTTCGATAACGAAGATCAAACGAAATTTAATTTCGTAAATTTGAAGCTTTCTTTGAGTAGGCATAAAAAATATACACCTCAATCAGACCCCTCTTTCCCAGTGGGCACTTTGGGCAAGTGCCCAGGGCCCCGCGATCGATAGGGGCCCTCCTCAGATCAAATACAAAGTCCCTAGTTCCTGTTAAATCACCAAACGGGGGTCATAGGGTCCCCATTATCCTAATATGCCCAGGGCCTCCAATAGGTCAAAGACGGCACTGACCTCAATATATATTCCGACGACGAATATTATTATAATTAAAAATGAACCAGAAGCGTATTACGAAAAGTGCTAAGTTTCGATCGAAATATCGTTTTTCTTTAAATTAGAGTAGGCCTCCTGGTTCTTTCTAATCTCTCCGAACAAATGCAATTAAGATACTGGCACCAATGGCCGATCGATTTTTTTTTCTGCGATCAATGAAAATAAGATAAGATTACCGTTCACTATTACCAGTGGTTGCGATTCTGTAACACTACTGTATTGTTTGATTGTTTGAATTCTATACACTTGTACAAATATTTGTAACGTATTTTACAGGAAAGGAACTATAACTATTGTAGCGGCCAACAATGCTTATTTCATAAATATCAAATATTTGGACAATCGCAGTTCTGCAATGAGATTGATAAAGAAATTTTATCGAATATATCTTAAACGATTTTTTAATCCTTTGAAAGTAAACCTAAACCTTTAAAGGCCAGTTGCAATAATTAAACTACAGTTATAGATAGGCCAATTAGAGCTTTGTTGCTTAGATATTTTTATTATTTATATTATATTAATTATCAACTTTTCAAAACTTTCGTACGGGTTAAAATAATTTGGAAGAAATGCCGGACCCGAGTCTACCGTACCAAAAGGGACGAACGTCAAATGTTTGACAGGAAAGGAGATAGAACAGTTTATATGGGAAAATTAAATTGATGTTTTTACTATCTTCCTCGCAATTTTTCCATATTTTCTCACCTTTCAAACCTTCCCTAGACCTCCACGAACATTTCAAGACCAAGATAAGATAAATCCGTTCAACCGTTCTCCAGTTTTAGCGAGACTAACGAGCAGCAATTGATTTTTATCTATTAAATATTACAATCATCTCTTACCAGGGTGTTAGGATATTGTTAAAAAGGCTTGACTAGTGTACTTCCAATTCTTTGGTGTCATTCGTCCTCAGGATTCTGGGCAAATCTTCCTCGCCGAACTTGATACCAAACGGCCGCAGGTGGTAAATTAAATAGTCCAGGACATACATCAACTTGGGGTCTACGTAATGAAACGATATAGCGTGGTCTGAACAACAGTCCAGCCCCTGAAAAAATAAACAGTGATTGTCAATAGTTCTTTTCTATACATATAGTAAAATGGTGGGAGTCAAAACTGTACATTGAATATTTTTCTAAAAGAATACTTGGGGTGATGGGTGTAATCTTCAATTGATACCGAAGCCAAAAATATAGTTTTTAAAATTTTTGACTGTTTGTCTGTATGTATGTCCGGGATAAACTCAAAAAGTGGGCACGAATATTATTAAGAAGTCAGGTCAAAATATAGGCTACATATTATCACGCTATCACCTACGGGAAACGAACAGTGAACCATATTATTTCTAACTAACTCGACGCGTAAGAAGTCGCGACGGCCGCTAGTACTATATAAATGGGTGTAAGTAGAGCAAACTTCTTGAGCAAAACCACAAACTAAAATACTTGCGCAGTACCCGTTTTTGTATGTGAAATTACTATTGCGCAAGCTCCGTTGTCCATAGAGTAAGGTAAAGAAATTCTAATTCCGCCAGTTAGTTCATCAAAAAATTATAGACATAATTTTTTCCTTTTGTCAATCAACCATTAAAATTACAAAAATTGAGCGCATCAAAGTTTGGGAGTGGAGGTTCGTGACGTCACTTCTAAGTTAATAATTGTACCCAGACGTGGCAACATGCGACATTTTAAATCAATATATCTCTGTACTGTTTTGATTACGTAAAAAAAGAAATAATACGTTTTCAATACTTTTTCAAAATCTACCTGATATACGAAGAAAAAACAATATTTCCAACACTCACACCAATTAGCCTATCCCCAAAGTAAGCACTGTAAAGCTTGTGTTATGGGATACTAGCGTATCGGATAGAATACATATACTGTACATATATAAAAATATATATTCAGAAATACATATTAAACGTCCATGACTACAGTACAAATGCTTGTATTCATCACACAAACATCTGCCCCCACCGGGATTCGAACCCGGGAACCTCTCGAGTCACACACACCATGAAACCCGGCGTACAAATCACTCGGTCAAGTAGGTCGTCAAAAAGTTAACATGCTCTATAGATAATGAAAAGGAGAGGCCGTTGCCATTTATTGTGTTACCTCATCCGTAGGGTAGTAGATATACTTCCAGTACCAGTAGCCCCTGTCCTTGTTGGGGAACAAGTGGTCCTGCGGCACAAACGGGAAGAAACGCCCTCTGTGGAGAGAGTCGCGAGAATCCATCGCCTTCACGCCGATCTTGTCCAAACATATGCCTGCAGAGAGGGTAGAGGGTTCCTCAAAAAAAGGCACGGTTGAGTTAATAGAAATTAACAGGCCGAAATTTGGGTGACCAAAATTTCTCTGTCTCGAGTTCCTCCGTGCTTCGGAAGGCACGTTAAGCCGTTGGTCCCGGTTTCACCTGCAGTCGTTAGCACCCGCCAATCCGCACTGGGCCCGCGTGGTGGGTTATGGCCCAATCTCCCTATTCCATCCATAGGGAAGGCCTGTGCCCCAGCAATGGGGACATGAAAAGGCTGATGAAGAACAGGCCGAACAACTGTGCTATCGTTAGAGCCTTAACTAGACACTGCAAACTCAACAGACACCGATTTCATATGAAATTGAGTGACACTGGTGTTTGCTGATACTGCAATCAGGAGCGTGAAACACCAAAACACCTATGTAAATGTGGGTCTCCCATCCACAAACGTAGTATTCATTTGGGACGACATTTAAAACGCACGGAGGAAATCAAATCCTAAGCTAGAAACATATTGAGCTTCTTGGAAGCGGTTGGGCTAAAAGAGATACTTTATTTTGGTGGCGAGTCACAATCGATCTCATAGGTCACAGTGACTACAGTCCCGTTAGGACTGCATAGCCCCAAAAATCTAAATAATAATAATGCCTGCAAAGATTGCTGCTTCTAAACTTGACAGCCTGTCCTTATTATGTTTTATAAGGAACGAAAAGGACAGACTGTTGTCAAATTTACAAATAGCAAAGACGAATAGCCAAGTGAAGTGCCGGCATAGCATTGTCAAAATCTCCTTTTTTTATTCTATTGCTTATTTGTGTTTATCCCTCAGAATAAGAACCAAAAGCGTAGAAAGAGTTTAAATTCAACTCATAAAGTTGACTCATATAGTATGTTGCTATGAACCATAAGCAGCGTGCGTACTATTATACAAATGTCAAATTTGATATCTTTGTATGCCTTGTGGAAAACTCGGTTACCTTTAGGATACCGAAATAAAAGCAGATCGCTTTTTAATTCGGTATGTCAAATACAACCTGCCAACATGCCACTATAGTCTGTCCATTATATTATATACTAAACAATTTTCTAGCATAAAATCGATTATAGCTTTAAATCGAACGAGTTATGTGATAGGGTGTCACTATTTTACTTCGATCCATCTGTCAAAAAGATAATAATAGAATGGACAAACTATAATACCTTTTGGTTGGGTGTTACTATGTGTTATATACGAGTCTGCATGTGTGCGCGGCTGCGCCCGCGCCGACGTATTAACCCACTCAATAAACCAGTGCGTTGACAGCCACCGAGTCTTTCACTTGTCCCTGTGCTCGCATACTTTCCAGTGGCGACGATTACCCGCGTTTTAGAAAAAAAAAGTGAAAATGTCGTTTTCTCATATTGGTAATTTATCAAATTTTGACCACACTTTACATACTTGGAAGACCTACAAATGCAGATTGTCGCAATGGTTTATTGCGAACGATGTCGACCAGGTGATGGATCCAACGGGAGTGAAGAAAAGGGCGATACTTCTCAGCGCACTCAGCGAAGGCACATATAAACTCGCAGCTGATCTCGCGCTGCCCAAGGAGCTGCAGAATGTGCCGTATGATGACATCGTGGGACTCCTTGACTCCCACTTCACGCCAAAGCATATAGGGTTTAGCGAGCGCCATCGGTTTTACGCCGCTACCCAAGAAGAAATGGAGTCACCATCGCAATGGGCCGCCCGATTACGCGGATTGGCCTCGCAATGCGAATTCTCAAACGTGGAAGAACTTTTACGAGACAAATTCATTATGGGCATGTTGCCGGGAGCCGTAAAAGAAAAAATGTACGTCCAGGACCTAGCGGGGCTCACGTTGGTGAAGGCCGTGGACCTCGCCGAGAGTCTGCGGAGCGCGCGCGCTGCCGCCGCCAGCGCAAGCGCAACGCCGCCGCCGCCGCCGTCCGCCGTCGGGCGCGACCACGAGCACGAAGAGGTCTACAAGATCGGGAACCCAAATAACACTGGAGGCCGCCGTAGTGTAAAAGTGAAGTGTACAGTGTGTGGTTATGCTAATCATGAAAAAGAATCGTGCCGTTTTGCGGGTTATACTTGTAGGAAGTGCAATAAAAAAGGCCACCTTCGACGTATGTGTAGAAATGTAAATTACGTTTCTACTAGGGCAGGTGAGGTGTGCGAGGGCGGTGACGACGACGATGGTGAGTTGTTCAATATTCGTTCTGTAAAAGGGGAGCCGCTTGTTGAGACGGTGATTATCAATGGCAAAAAGTTTAGATTCGAAATAGACAGCGGATCAGCAGTTACGGTCATGTCAGAAATGACGTTTAAACTACATTTTAAAAATTTGCCGTTAAGTACAACGAATAAAAAATTAGTAAGTTACACTGGTGAAGTGCTGGGTTGCATTGGGTGTGTACCATTATCGTTACAGTGGGCGGGCCGCACACGTGTCCTTGATGTGTATATAGTTCGCGGTAGTGGTCCGTCTTTGCTCGGCCGCGATTTTATTGCGCACTTCGAGTTGCAGCTTGCCCCAGTTCAATACTGCGAAAGTAACGATTTGTTTAATTCCCTACAAGCACGTTATCCTGATTTGTTCTCGGGAAGGTTAGGGAAATTTAATCAGTATGAAGTGAGCTTAACTTTGAAAGATGGCCATAGACCTACTTTCTGTAAAGCGCGACCCGTCGCATTTGCGTTAAGAGAAAAGGTGGAGTGCGAACTTGATCGATTAGTCAAATTAGGGGTGCTGTGCCCAGTAGACCATTCAGAGTACGCGTCACCAATCGTACCTGTGTTGAAGCGCAATGGATCAATGCGGATTTGTGCAGATTATTCTGCCACTATCAACAAGCAATTAGTTATTGATCAGTATCCACTACCTACGATTAATGAGCTATTTTCTAAATTGTATGGAGGCAATCAATTTACTAAATTAGATTTATCAATGGCTTACAATCAGTTCTGTTTAGATAAAGACGCCCAAAAAGTAACTTGCATCAATACACATCGCGGATTATTTGCTTATACACGACTCGTGTTTGGGTTGTCAAGCGCTCCAGCTATTTTTCAACGAGCGATGGAAAATTTGCTTGCGGGCATAAGTGGAGTTCTGGTACTATTAGATGATGTTTTAATAACGGGGTGCCATCGCTCCGAACACCTGGAAAGATTAAATCAGGTGTTACAAAGACTACAAAACGCTGGCTTAACCTTACAAAAAGATAAGTGTGTTTTTTTTTGTGACGAAATCAACTATTTGGGCTATGTGATCAACAAAGATGGGTTGAAAAAATCACCGGAAAAAGTAAAAGCTATACTAGAGGCACCGGTTCCTAAAACTGTAAATCAGCTACAATCGTTTTTAGGACTAGTAAATTACTACAGAGGGTTCGTTCCAGGTGCGTCCAGTGTGTTAAGTCCACTGTATGACCGCTTGAAAAAAGGCAACAAATGGGTTTGGTCTTATACAGAAGACAAAGCGTTTAATGAAATCAAAAAGGCACTAGCGTCCGAAAAGGTATTAGCGCATTTTAACCCGGACGCAAAAATAATACTTACCGTAGACGCCTCACCCACGGGATTAGGTGCGATCTTGTCACAAATTGGAAAAGATGGTTTAGAAAAACCCATTTCATTCGCGTCGCGTTCTCTCAATAAAGCAGAACGTCGATATTCTCAAATCCAGAAGGAAGCCACAGCAATTATTTTTGGTGTGAGACGATTTCATCAATATCTATATGGCAGGTCAGTGCCTTTTGTGTTAAGAACGGACCACAAACCTCTTATTTCTATATTCGGTTCACATAAGGGTATACCAGAAGTTTCTGCAAACCGGTTACAGCGTTACGCCTTATTTTTAAGTGGTTACAATTACGCCATTGAATATATAAAAAGTACAGACAATAGTGCAGATTATTTGTCACGCGCGAGCCTATCGCATACAATCGACGACACTGTTATCGGGCACGGTGAGCGCAGTGTAGACGTATGCGACCGCGCGGCATACGTGTGTTTTGTAGTGGACGGATCGTTTCCTATAACGTTAGAGAAATTATGTAGTGAGACGAACAGGGATCCTATATTAAAAAAAGTTATACATCACGTGCTAAACGGGTGGGGTAGATCGGTTAAAGAAAATGAATTAAGACCGTATTACTTGTGCAGGCTAGAATTGTCATACGAAAATGGTTGTCTGTTGCGTGGCCATAAGGTAGTCATTCCGGAGGCGTTACGCGAAAGGGTGCTGTCAGAACTTCATACATCACACTTGGGTATTGTGAAAACAAAAGCGGAAGCTCGCTCACGGTTTTGGTTCCCAGGCATAGACGAAGCTTTGGAACGAATGATAGGACTGTGTGAAGTTTGTATGCAGTTGAGAGTGTCACCTCCCCGAGCGCCAATTTCACCGTGGCCGTACCCCTCGCACCCGTTTTATCGCATTCATCTTGATTTTTTGGGCCCAATGAATGGACGAGTATACCTAGTTATTGTGGATGCATTTACTAAATGGTTAGAGGTTTATGAGATGAGTTCTTGCACTACACCAGCGGTAATAGATAAATTATACGAGTTCATGTCCAGGTTTGGCTTACCCCATACGATAGTTACGGATAATGGTACCTCATTTGTCTCCCAAGAGTTTAAACATTTTTGTGGTTTAAATGGCATTTCTCACATGACGTCACCTCCTTATCACCCAGCGAGCAATGGGCAGGCAGAATCATATGTGAAAATAATCAAGCGGGGAATAAAATCAATCTTACAAACAACTAATTGTAATAATTTTAGAGAACGCAGAATAAAACTACTAAAGTATATTTTCGATTACCGTAATTCTGTCCATACTATGACGGGTAAATCACCGGCTCAGCTTGTGTTCGGCCGCCAGCTAAGGTCACGGCTCGATCTTATGCACCCTCGTCTAATTTCATCGCCCTCCTCCACGTCATTCGCTAAATATATGCACTCTAAACAGTGTTGGCAAACTGAAGTAAAGGGTGGCAAGAGCAGGTTGTTTATTCCTGGACAATATGTTTACTATAAAAAATATATAAACAATAATAAGTTTTTTTGGGTAAAAGGAATAATACTAAGAAAAATTGGAAAAATGTTATTTGTCATTAAAGACTTGAATACGTCAGTTTTTGTTAAGAAACATCAAAATCAATTGATACTTTATTATAAGGGAAATGAGTCTAACGTGACAAATCATACACGGGGGGACGATGAAATTGATGTACCGGACGTCGACACAACGTCATTAACATCATCCTCACAATCGCCATTGCCAGACACACCGATTACAAGCGCAAAAGTAATTGAATCCGGAGAAGGTCAAAGATCGTCCCTTACACCGGCGGCACCGACGCGCGGCGAGTCAACGTCACGTGGGTCGCCCTCGCCGAGCCGTGTGACAATAACAAGGGGAGTCCGTCGGCCGCCTGCTTTAAATGATGACGACGATTTTTACGATGTCGAAGAGACCAGCGAAGTCGTAAAGGAAAGCGCAGCAATAGTAAACGACAGATCAAAACGAATTCGTCCCCCTGTCAATTACAAACAATTTTTGTAAAAGTATTATTTAAGCTGACATAGTTGTAATAGTTGTAAGCCTAATTACATGTGTGTACTTATGTCGTGGGGGAGAAATGTTATATACGAGTCTGCATGTGTGCGCGGCTGCGCCCGCGCCGACGTATTAACCCACTCAATAAACCAGTGCGTTGACAGCCACCGAGTCTTTCACTTGTCCCTGTGCTCGCATACTTTCCACTATGTTTGGAAATCTTTTCGTAGAGGAGATCGATGGCGCGTGTGGTTATCGCGTTCGCCTGCGAGCGTTGAAATTAAGCAACTTTGCAGCCCTGGTGCAGGTTGTTCATATAACTCACCGATCTCCTTGTCCTCAGCGCCGTCGTCGCTGGCCTTACACAGATGGGGGGAGTTGTTCCCTCCTGCAGCCCTGTTGCAGGTTGTTCATATAACTCACCGATCTCCTTGTCCTCAGCGCCGTCGTCGCTGGCCTTACACAGATGGGGGGAGTTGTTCCCTCCTGCAGCCCTGTTGCAGGTTGTTCATATAACTCACCGATCTCCTTGTCCTCAGCGCCGTCGTCGCTGGCCTTACACAGATGGGGGGAGTTGTTCCCTCCTGCAGCCCTGTTGCAGGTTGTTCATATAACTCACCGATCTCCTTGTCCTCAGCGCCGTCGTCGCTGGCCTTACACAGATGGGGGGAGTTGTTCCCTCCTGCAGCCCTGGTGCAGGTTGTTTATATAACTCACCGATCTCCTTGTCCTCAGCGCCATCGTCGCTGGCCTTACACAGATGGGGGGAGTTGTTCCCTCCTGCAGCCCTGGTGCAGGTTCTTCATATAACTCACCGATCTCCTTGTCCTCAGCGCCGTCGTCGCTGGCCTTACACAGATGGGGGGAGTTGTTCCCTCCTGCAGCCCTGGTGCAGGTTGTTCATATAACTCACCGATCTCCTTGTCCTCAGCGCCGTCGTCGCTGGCCTTACACAGATGGGGGGAGTTATTCCCTCCTGCAGCCCTGGTGCAGGTTGTTCATATAACTCACCGATCTCCTTGTCCTCAGCGCCGTCGTCGCTGGCCTTACACAGATGGGGGGAGTTGTTCCCTCCTGCAGCCCTGGTGCAGGTTGTTCATATAACTCACCGATCTCCTTGTCCTCAGCGCCGTCGTCGCTGGCCTTACACAGATGGGGGGAGTTATTCCCTCCTGCAGCCCTGGTGCAGGTTGTTCATATAACTCACCGATCTCCTTGTCCTCAGCGCCGTCGTCGCTGGCCTTACACAGATGGGGGGAGTTGTTCCCTCCTGCAGCCCTGGTGCAGGTTGTTCATATAACTCACCGATCTCCGCGTCCTCGGCGCCGTCGTCGCTGGCCTTACACAGATGAGGGGAGGGCAGTGCTTTGTTCACGAAGTTGTCGAGCGCCGCGCGACTGAGTACGTAGCCCGCCCCACCGCTCATGTAACCCTGGGTACACTCATGTTTATTGAATGGTTGACAACGAATCAGAGATGCCTTACTCTCTAACAAAGGCCGATAAAACATGGTTCCAAACTTATACAACTAAACTTCAATACTAACGCGACACGCACAGAGACAAAACAAAGTACTTTGGCAAATCAAATATCTGAAAATGAATTCGGCTATCCTATAAATTGATTGGGTAAAATAATGTTTAACGAAAATCGCAACCAATCCCATGATCGGCGTGTTGATAGCAGTTTTTGCAACCCGCCGACTTGATCGCAGTTTGCGTGGAGCCACTATTTAGCGTAGTCCATATTATTTCTAATTCGTTGATGGTTTACCAAAAAAAATAATATTTAGAATGCATAAATATTACAGCAATCAAACTGCAGACGACAATTTTTTTTTATTCCATATTATGTAAATCATGAATTTATATTGAAGTTGTATTGTGTACAACTCTGTATATAATAATAATAAAGAACAGAAAACAGCCCTTGCTGCGTTTCTTGCCGGTTTTTCTCATTAAAAGAGCTCCCATCTTAGATTTGCAAACTGATGGCGTTGCTTTTAGACATTAATAAGTGCTTCTACTGAATAAAAAAGTATCAGTAACAACAGACATTGCCCTGAATGAATTTTCTGTGCAACTTATTCTTTTTCTGAGGAATGCTCTACAAAGTTTTAGAAAAAAAGGATGAATGAAATCGGTAAATTCATTCTCGAGTCTCTATTCTAAATACTGCAATAGATATGTAATCAAAAGTAATGTTGCACCGAATGGGAGTCATGTCGAATTCGGCCAAATGTATGGTAAAATTTCGCGTACTTTTGCTCAATGAGCAATATGTTTAAATATTGTTTAATTACAAAAATAAAACACTTAAAGTCAAATTCTCATTACCTTAAATTAATAAGTTACAAAGAAGTGAGAAATAACGTTACTTTGCTGATAGTATAATTGATATTTTTTTTTAAAGCATATTTTGATGCTTGATGTTTTATAGGCAATAAAAACAAACTCTATATATACATACCTCTTTTCTCAAAAATAATTATTTGATCAAAATTTCATTTTAAAATACATTTCTTTTCACTGTTTCATTCCTTTTTTAAATTACTTTAACCTACCGAACTTCGGCAGACATTCGAGAGATCTAACCAAAATAAGTAAGCCGAACTTGGGTAATACCGATGGTGAAACGAAATTTGGTGCTTCTGTAAATAATAGTTCCATAGAATAGTTAAATAACTATGTACATTTTATTTATAATGTATTTTAGATAAAAGTCGTCGCCTGACCAACTTATTATCCGAACTCCTATACACACATTTGCATAACAAACGTATTTGGACTTAAGTACAGCGGAATAAGGTCGAAAATCGAATGGCAGCTTATATCCTGCCTCGATTATAGTAAATACAATGTACTAGTAAAGGCTTGCCTTACATCATGTAATCTGATAATAAATAAGTTGTTTGCCGGATTTAATGTTTCAATGAATAATTCCTTATTCATTGAAACATTAAATCCGGCAATCAAAAAAAAAATGTATTTCAAAAGGCATAACTTCTTTAAAGCATCCAGTATTTTACGATGCCAAACATGTTCTTGTCTCTCGAAAATAAGTCTTTTCATGCTAATCAGTTACAATTATTAATGTTTTCGATTTATCAACACCGTTGTACAGCCACAGGTCGAGTTCCTAATCTCAAACTGGCTTTGAGCCACGTAGGATCACAATGTCATGTAGGATTCACAATCTATCAGGAAATTTTGTTTGTGGTAACTTAGGCTAATAATTCACGGCGCGATTTTCTCCCGCGCGTGCTGACGCGGGGAAAAACAGCTGCATGAGTTCTTAGCCTTATGTGTCTTTACCTAACAACCCCACACAAGCAAAAAAACTACTGATTTTTAATGAAACATCGAACAGTTTTACCTACATTGAAAAGATAATTGTTTTTGCGTACCTGTTTAGTAAACGGCTTGAAACGGCACCCAAAGTATATAGCATCTTTGGGGTTGTAATCAGCCAACATGTATCTCAAATTTTCCACTACCACGTAACTGTAACAAAATAAGTACCATTACACACGGTATTGTCAATAAAAATAAGCTGAGTGGGAGAGAAAAGAATAATTGTGAATAGGAAAGTAATATGATATGTATCTGATATTGGACAATGGACATAATGCTAATGAAAATAATGGTCATATTTCTACGACATATACAAATCTTAATTATTTCAGACTTCGTTTGAAAGTAACAAGTAAAGAAAGAAGCTTATTTTTGGTAATAATAATTTACCTAGTCTATTACACGTAAAGGCTGATTCACGCCGGGCAACACTGTACGACATTTTACGGCATGCCACACCAATAATTTAATATTTTACAGCACAATGCTTTGAAAATAAACTAGGCGTGATGTTGTATCGATGAATTTTTAAATATTTGCAGCATTACCACCAGATGACCTACGCCAAAATATGTAGCAAGACGCACTGTTGCATGTTGTTATCTCGGTGTAATCAGCCTTTAACGATGACGATGCACGGACTCGAATACTTTATGTACCATCTCTATAATCTATTATCTTATATAGTGTTTTAAACTTTCATGGTCATTAAAATTATAGTAATTTGTATTATTTACGGGATTGTTACCAATGTACCTTGTTTTTAGCGAGTTTCCGAACTTGATCAGTTACTCCGTGATCATGGCGCTTACAACAGTTGCCGAGTTAACAACATGCGACAGTGCGTCATGCTACATATTTTAGGCGTGGGTCATCTGGTGGTAATGCTGCAAATATTTGAAAATTCGTCGATGCAACATCATGCCTAGTTTATTTTCAAAGCATTGTGCTGTAAAATATTAAATTATTGATGTGGTATGCCGCAATGTCGTACAGTGTTGCCCGGCGTGGATCAGCCTTTACGTGTAATAAATGAAAATCTTCGGCGGTCAGAAATAACAAAATGTAATCGTAAGTGATACCGGTAACCATAGCAATCCCGTTAGGCCATTGTCCCCATGGTCAGCGCGGATTTTTTTCTAGCAAAATTTTCTTTGTATTTGCTATGTTTCTAACCGATAGTATAACATGTCATCGGCTATAAATACTGCTCCGATAATATCTATAAGTACCACTTCACTCGTCCACTTCGAACGGATGCACAACGATAACGCTTATACAAGATAAAGGATCATTGACTGTACTTATATTTACTAGAGTCAATAAAAGTAAACCGATATACAAGTGCGCTATGACAGTATATCGTGTTCCAATAAATAATTTTGATATAACATAAAAATATACTACAACGTTTGTTCCTATAGAACTCGACTACAGCACTACCGGACCCAATTGGGGTGATGACGGGGTACAGTAAACAAAATTCTATTTGGTCCGTCAGTTAGATGATCAAAAAATAATGGACACATATTTTTACTTTGGGCAATCGACCAAAAAATGACAAAGTTATAGCGCGTCAAAGTTTGGGAGTAGGGGCTCGTGACGTCACTTTTAAGTGAAAATTGTACCAAAACGTGACGTCATGCGACTTTTCAAATCAATATATCTCTGCAATGTTTATATCATGTGAAAAAAGAAAAAATACGTGTTCAATATTTTTTGTTAATCTACCTGATAAACGAAGAAAAAAAAATAGTCATCATCCCTATTGTAAACTTGAGAGCGGCCGTTGGCGAACACTTCGAGCAGTTATTCAATGATCAACATACACGGAATGCTCTAGACACAGAAAAAGAAGGGTGATCATAGAACGTTTGGATGGGAACCGATGTCACCGGCTCGCCCCCACTAAACTTCCATCTAAAAGATTCCTCCTCCGCATCCTCCTGATATGATATAGATTTGTATGTATATATCTAAATATTTATTAGAATACAACGTCGTGTATGGTTTAATAACAATTACACTAGATTAAATACCAATTTTAGCTAATTTTAGTACCATAAGTAAGTTTTTTGTGGTCAATAAGAGAGTGTCTTTAATTATGTGACCACCACTATTTTATTATTATTTATGTATGTTTATAGATATTTATTTTTTGTAGTTGTTTCTGTAGATATACTTTAATTACATTAAATAATTTGATGATTTTTTTTGCACTACCTTCTTAATATTTTTGCTATAATTCTCCAGTTGACTGGTAGAGAATGCCTAATGGCATTAAGTTCGCCACTTGTACACTCATTTTTGCAATAAAGTATAAATAAATAAAATAATTAATAACCAATCAAACGACGCAACATCAGACAATCGAACCAATCAGCGCTCACACCCAAGAGCAACGACGCAATCGGAACCAACTTTTGGTCAAGTTATGAGCATTTGCTCACACACGATTATGGCGCGCCTGCCCCGCCCACAATGCCCTCCTAACCTCTTTCTGTGTTCTTTGGCTCTAGCAGTCAGTTATAGGTAGCGGCAAAGTTCTTAACCAAGCCTACAGACAAATAAACTAGCGCAGTAGACGTTTTTGTATGTAGAATTTCTATTGCGCAAGCTTCCTTGTCTATAAGAAGAGCGGACAGGAGAGGACGAGTGCCTGCCCTGGCTGCGCCCGTCCCATGACCCTGCCCGCGGGGATCCCGGGCAATGATGTCAGACGTACCAACTTCTTGGTATACATAATAGTTTTTAGTGTCATGTACCATGTACCAAGGCTATTCAGTCCTTGTACGCAAAAATACCAAGATTGGCCGTTGACCGACAAAAATACACTGACAATATAGAATAATAGACAAATTTTAGAGATTCATGTAAAAAAAAAATCCAATCAATTGTACGTGCTTATAAACGATTAATATTCTTCAATTGATGAAAGAATCGAGTATATATAGTATATTTCTTGCGTGTGTTCGATAATCACTGCCCTCTATTAACGGTCTACGAAATTGAAATGTACATTTTTTTTACTGGGATGATGCGATTTCCCACACAGCTCCCAGAATTGGCAGCGCCGCAGAGCGGAGCACAGGCGTACTAGTTTCCCGGCTCGAATACCAGCTTTCAGCCAGCTCGGCACAAGGATTTCTAGGTGCCCATCTAACATCCCTGATCCCGGGACGGCAGCCCTCATCTTGTAGTTCTGCCCTGCATAGAGGGGGGCGGCGGAGGGAGCTACACGGGCACGCCCAAGTAGTCCTCCGCAGCGGACGGGGGGCGTTACGGTGGGCACTAGGCCGCGTATTCAGCCCCCAAGCGCGGGTCATCCTGCGCACGTCTGCGGGGTCCCCGCAATACCTCGGGAGACCCCTGCAGTGGAGCCCGGGCGGCTGCTAGGCCGGGAGGCTGCTGAGTGCGCAGACGCGGAAGAATCCCTAAACGGGGATCCCGCGGTTTCGCACTAAGCAGCTTAGAGGGTATTCGCAAGGCTTTATAGCGGATATTATGCCGTAAAGCGCCCGTAAGAGTTACGGGGTCCGCAGTGGGCAGCCACTGTGGGGGCTCGTAAGGTTTGCGGGAGCCAGGTGTGAGGTCCGTTCGGCGGTGTGCCTCTTAAAGGCGCCGTCGTCTGTCAGAAGCACAATACAACTGTTCGAGAACAGTTGGTATGAACTGTTTGAACAGTTAACAATGGTAGAATCAAGCTGTTGACACTGACTGCTCAAGCAGTTCGCGTATTCTTAGCCTCGGATTCAAAATAGCAGTCATTTCATCACAATCGATGATGTCATCACAGAATTTCATAACCTTAGTTTATTAATTAATTTATTTATTTCAGTTAATCTACAGCATTATCTTATTACTAGTTACGTTTATAATATTTTCTTAAACTAATGCCAATTACAGTTTTCCTGGTAGCATATTAACTTGCGTAACATTTTTGGGTTTATCTACATAGTTCATTCAAAGATGTTTGCAACAATAATTTTATATCTGTCTATATGTTAATTAATTAAGATATCACACAAACATGTTCACAAAACAACACGCATACAATGTATATCATATAACGAAGCAATAAATATTTACATACAGTCTGGTATTGAACTTGTCTTATTATTTAGCCAAATATGTTTAATCAATACAATGCTCTTTTCCCGGTCATTCATTAGTTAGGAGCTTTACAATGGATTGCAAATAAGACCACACGCCCCGAGCGGGGCGCGCTACCCACGGGACTATAAGCCGTTTTTTGTCATAGTTAGAGCCTACTTTTGTATGAAGAAGTTTAACCATAGATTAACTTGGCGAAATGACCTATCTCTAGAGCCGTAAAGTTTTAAATAGCCCGCATAAATACTGCTTATGCGGACCCCAAGCAGTTAAAAGTACTTTGTGTCCCTATAAAAGGATCAGCATCATTAATGGAAAGAAGATTTATTTTCCAGTGATGAATTGTATTGTGAACTCACGTGTCGTCATCCGCCTTGAGGAACCAGTCTGCGTCCCTCCGGTGTCGCTCGTACACGTAACGGAACGCCTCCTTGGTCTTCGCCCACAGGTGGTCCCGGCCTTCGCGCACCGGTAGTTTCACCGTAGGCAGTGAGGCGTCTGACCAAATCATACACATACAAAGTAAGTCTAGAAGAAAACACTAGCGAAAATTGGGCAGAACTACATCCATATATTGAGAGGAGTTGCTTTCACGTCAACATACAGCAGACCTAGTGCCTATATACCAAGTGGCAAAATTCAACTTAGATTTCCTTTAACGCTTCTGGTATTGAATGAGTTCTTGACACCCAGACTGTAATACTAGATAGGTATTCCGATATCGCTGTCACGAGATCGATATTATGTCCAAGTTACGCAGTTCTACGCTTTAATTAGATTAACATAATAGCTTGATGGCGCAAGAGGTTAGCGCTTTCTGCTGGGATCGTTGAATTTAAGCAACTTTCGCAGTGGTCGGTCATTGGATGAGTGACCAAAAACTTATGATCCCGAGCTCCTCCGTGCTTCGGAGGGCACGTTAAGCCGTTGGTCCCAGCTGCATCTGCGGCCATTAGCACCCACCAATCCGCACTGGACCCGCTTAGTAGGTGATGGCCTAATCTTCCTATTCCATCCATAAGGAAGGCTTGTGTCCCAATAGTGAGGTCATTATTAGGCTGATGATGATGAAATAAAAATAAGAATCAGACCATCTTCAGGGGAGAACGACTATCATTAGAAGAGTTTCCTACCTTCCTCCGAGCTCACGAACAATATTTTGTTGCATCTCTTCCCCCAGGTTGCCTTCACGTGGTCCGCTCTCTTCCTATGGTTGTTTGGTTGCGTCATCACCCAACACAGCACCCTGACCTTCTTGGACAGCTCGTCGGCGACAGTTCTGTCCTCGTGTCTGTGAGCTGGCTCGTCGCTGCCATGTCCAATCATTGCGGTTATCGGGTGCTTGTCGAGGTCTCTCGCGGATTCCCTGAAAATACTTTAACACTATTTATGAAATCTTTAAAGTCGTAACACCTGTCACGATTAAAGAATAGGGGTGATGACGGGGTAAAGAACAACGAAATTATTTTTAAGTCCGAAAGTTAGATTACCAAAAAATAAAAGACATTTTTTTTTGTCAGTCAACCAAAAAAATACAATGATAAAACAAAGTCTGCGAGAGGGGCGACGTCACTGCTAAGTAAAAATAGTACCTAGACGTGAAGAAATGTGACATTTCAAATCATCTCTGTAACGTTTTTATTAAGTGAAAAAAATACGTGTCCAATACATTTTGATAAATCTACCCGATAGACAAAGAAAACAAAGTTAGTCATCAGCCCTATTCAAAATATTTTGCAATTTATGAAAAATTATTAGTTCAAATGAAATATGACAAACTTTTAAAATTGTAGCACCGTTTAAGCAATCCAAGTTATTACAAGTACTTTAACGAGTGGAAAAACTGAGGCATCAGTTTTGAAATCAACGACGGGGGACCTTATTCTGATATAAAAGATTAGATAGAAACTCAGCTAAGTACCCATTTTCAAAAAAGTATGCATGCTACATAGGTCTTTTGCATTGTAGGTATTTGCAGCCGGACCCAACTTTATGCTGTCAAAATAATAAATTTTTAATAAACTTGATTGATTCTTGAGTGAAGGTATATTATTTATTTAATTTTCCTTATGACTTGTGGAACAATGAACGAACGTAGGACAACAATTTATAAATTAAGAAAAGAATGATCCACGTCAAGACGATATATTGTTTTCTTAAATTGTCCCAACGGAGAGTCAAATCTTGTACTTGGAGATGGCTGCGCAACCACAATCTGGCGTGTCCACCCGCGAGTACAGCAATTTTCTAACACAAAACTTAAAACTAATACTCAACTAACTAATAGGATCTCAAAATTTTACGAAAGCAAAAAAAAACCAGTTTGAAATGATAAATTCAATAGCGTGCAGTATCCAATACTGAATCAATTTACTAAATCATTGTGGGTTTGAATATGATTGTTATCATAATAATAATGAATTAGTGTCCCCAATTTTAAACTCTGAAGAAGCCACGATGCAGTTCAGGTCTTCTAATGATTCAGTGCTTAAGAGCTGTCAAATTTCGTGCTTGGGCCTCTGTATGCCAACATAGCTAGAGAAATCAATACATCAAAAAACCAATAAAATATTGCAAAAATTAAGTATTCCTATATTTAGAGCTTGGGCAATTATTATGAACTCTTTAAGTTGCCGTACAGAGCAAGGCCGGTGAGATATAGTGCAGCATGATAATGTTTATGCCCGATTTAAACAAAAAATAAATAAAAAAAAAGTAATGCTGAATTAAATAAAGCTAGAAACACACTTGTCCTACCCATGCGGCAAATCAAATTCTTCTTACCCACTGTTTATATTCTTCTTCTTACCCACTATTATTGCATTGCTTTTTCTGATCGACTTGGGTGAATTCAATTACATATTTGCAAATTAAGCGTACAATGTATAGGCTTAAAAGCAATACAGTAATTAAAACTTTTCTAAATCGATTTTGGGAATGTACAATACAAGAACTAACGAACTTACAATTGTATAATCAATTCGGTCTTAAAAGTTGCACATAAGTAATTTACAATAACAAAATAAAAGTCCCCCAACTAACACAGTAGCGAAAAATGCAGCTTTCCTTAAAGCTCCAAGGACTATAGTGGTGGCATAATGGAGTCATAATTAGACACAAGTTGGTAACAGCTATAATTACAGCTTATGGCCGCAACAGATTCCTAAGGTTTTTTGTTACACCTTTATGGCACCAATAGCTGCTCTGTAGTTATATTTTTATCTGCTTTGCAACTTTTAGACGCATGAGGATTCGCATATCATTTGGACTACCTTTGACTGCATTGGAGTTATAATTGCAAATTTATTGACAAGTCGATGTTTTTCACCTAACTAAACAAGCCGCGTAGGTGTCGTATAAAATAAAATTACACTATAAATTACTTATCTATTATATTAATCACCAACTGCTGCCTACAGCAACATCTTTAATTCGATCATGAATAGAAATGAGAATGAATGATTGTTGACTTATGACGCGTTCGTTTATTCAAATAGTGTCAATATCAGCTTTCAACAGCTATTTTCACTTCTTGGGTGCTTAAGGAGTGAAAATATCAACTCTACTGGATCTATGAAATATGTGCTATAAGTGCTATTGCAGCCCTGAGAGCTATAGCAGCTGCAAAAGGACTGCTTGGCACGCTATGCATATCACCCTTGCAGCTTCCAACTGTAATTATATAATTAGATGCTATAGTGTATATACACTATAGCACTCTTATGAAAATATTTTGTGTTAGTTGGGCCGGACATCCGGAGTCGTTTTACAATGTGGATACTCTAATAAAATTTTGGAACGTATATATAACTATATCCATTAGGTAAAATTATCGTTATTGTAATTTATTAACAAGTACAAATAAAATACCGAATTTAGGTTAAATTACTTAGTTTTGCATAAATTGTCTCTCAAATAATGAATGAAGATTTTTGTATGATACAGATTTGGATTCCTTTCCCAAATTTGTATTAACTTAAACATCATACATACATATGATAACAAATAGTCCTGTTTTTAAATTTAAGCACAATTATATTTATTTATGTACAGGAAAAACAATACATATCCTAAAACATTACGTTGTGGAATTAGTCCAGTTGGAAATTACAATGACCTCTTTGCGTCTTATCTTATTATTCAAATTGGTTGTGATTGGTAAAATAAAATAGCTTAGCCAACTAAACTAATACACCATCAAATACATATAAAACTAGAATAAGTAATAATGATGAACAAATTAATATAACATAGCAAAAATTTAAAAAAAATACAATTTTCGTCAGACCGTAATGGCCTGCGCAGACGAGTGATTTTTGCCCGCCAAAATATATCGCTTAAACGTACCGCGTACAAAGGGCGTCCCGAACAACCAAGAACGCCAAGGGATCGGATTGGACAAAAGTAGTGTCTCCGAAGAAATAGAACTCATATGACTAGGCGCAGCAACTAACAAACATAAAAACTTTTATATATGTATTTAGTGTTACTTTTAATAATATTATTAGGAAGTAGGATACTACTACTTCTATTAATTATAGCTTTTATTTAAATAAACAAACAAAATTTGGAAAAAATAATAACGACTTTGAATTTCATTTAGTGTCGCCCCACAAGGGCCACCGACCACAACCACAAAACGCCGCCACCGGCATATTTCTTGTAGTTTTCATACATTTTATATGGAATCGCCACATCTGGTACGCCGGTGGCCGCCACACACTACAAATCGTCGTTGCTCGCTTCTTATGGCCCGCGCCGATACAAAACGCCGCCACACGTCATTCGCGCGATTCCCCACCCCTCACTCCTTACCTTAGTCGGCCGCTGTAGCGCGGTTCAGCTACTTTAGCAGCCGCTCCTAGCTTCTCGTGGCGGCATTTGTGGCTGTGGCGTGTAGCCCGTGTGCGGCGATACTAATGTCATCACTATCTTACAAGCTAAAACCAGAGTATAATAAAGAGCCTAGGAGCGAAATTACAAACCTTCTACAGACTCATTTACAATCCCATTGAGGAATTAGAATTAAAAATAGTGGTTGGAAAAACCGATGTTGTCGTTTTTTTCAACTTAATTTATGATTTTTACTCCCAGAAAGTAGACGATCGGGGTTCAAAGAGAAAATCTTTGCTTATTTATGCTATAGTAAATACTCAAGAAAAAAATCATCTAATTCATTTTGTAGAAGCAGCCCTGTGTTAAATTACTGTATACTTTAGTGAATTCTAAACGATCAATAATTACCCGAGATAAGCTAATTAGCGTTTTAAATTATCAATGAGACGAAATCGTTTTAGTAAATCAATCGTGAAATAGAACCGTGCCACCGATCAATTTATTAATTAGTTTGGGTGTGTTGGTCATGCTTTTGTTTTCTTTTTCTTAGACCAACATATAGGTAGGTAATGTAATAATAATTATTATTACTGTAATAATAATAACCTTTACAGGGTGACAAGGAAAGTCGTACTGAATATTAATGGACGCTATTAATTAGGTAATTTCTGATGGTTTTTTTTCTATAATATGGTGTGCATAACTTAACCGGTATGGAGATTTTTGGATTTTTTGTCGACTGTTTTGGGATAAAAGCTCACATGTTAATTAATTTAAATGATCAACAAAAACTGAGCCTACTATTAAGAGCTTTAAATAATTATCGATAACTGTCTTAATTAAAGAATTTTTACTAAGTGTTCTTAACTTTGAAGGGCTATTTTACAAAAACTTCTACGTCTCTACGTATCGTTCAAAAAGTATAACATATATGGTCAAAAAAACTTAAAAAATGTTATTTAAATAGACCTAAGTTTTCTTTTTATAGAGAAGAGTTAACCTCTTTGATGCTAGACTTGTTGATTGCATTGAGACGAGACGTTATTTCAATAAGATGGCTTCCGAGCGCAATTCAAAGGACGTATATGGAATTCCGATTCGGAGACCTGAATGCACGTCGTCAAAAAAGTTTAACGAGGCGCACACGATTCTTATTGTTCAGAATGGAAGAAAAACCTAACGTTCGGTTCGGAAACTATGCCCCATCCTGGCTCTGACCTGCAGGGTTGTATGTATTTTTTAAAGCCACGTTAAAAAAAATGTCTAAAACATAAAAAAAATGTTAGGGTTGGACAACCCTTATCACTTAGGGATATGAAAAATAGATAGTAGCCGATTCTCAGACCTACTGAATATGATGCATATAGAATTTTATAAAAATCGGTCAAGCCGTTTCGGAGGAGTATGGTAACTAGAATTGTCACACGATAATTTTATATATGTATGTATAGATACAGAGTGCTATAGTTTGTAACTAGAGATGGGCCGACTAGTCGGGAAAGACGACTATTCGGCATCGTTTATAGTCGGCGACTATTCGGCATAACATGCCGGCGGCACATATCAAGGAAATAAAACTAAAAACTTATACTTGTTTTGAACAGAAGCTAGAGTATGTATTTAAAGTTACCTACAGTCTTAATGTATTAAAAAAAATAAGGTAACATTATAAGAATTAGGAACTAAGGAATCTGTCAGTAATTCAGATGACTTAACACAATGAATATCGTACATAACAAAAGACCAATAGGAAGTAAGTATGTATTAATTGAGTAAAATCTTAAGTGCTAGTGAGTCTTAAAGAAGTCCACAGGTATTTTTTTTTCCTTAGAGGCAAATTGTGGTATTGCATCGTGTATATTTCGGCTTGATTTGGGAGACTCGTGTTGTGCGTGAGCAAGTCGACTAGTGACGAAATATTCCGAACATCTTCCTATGATAGGTATTAGAATAGTCGGCCCATCTCTAGTTGTAACCTTTTTGTATGAAATAAATAGCCGGGGTAAGACCGTGCGGGTATAGTTTGGTGGTTCTATATTATTTTAGACTGGGGGTGCTCCATGCTATTGACCCACCCTGAGCTCATGACTATTACTCTCGCGTTAAAATTAACATGAATTGAATGGATATTTTTAATCGATATCATTGAAAATATTTATTATATAATTATGTGTTACTTTTTCTATTGCTTTAATTTAATGGTTGATAAATATATTCAACAAAACTAGTTCGTAAGAACATTAAGAGTCATAATGTATTTCTATCATATTTTAAAGGAGAAACCAAATGTACCAGCCGCTTGCTTCACAAGTAGATAGTAACAGCTTATCAATGGGCAGGGCCCGTTCGGAAACTGTCGTGGGCGATGTAATGAAAACCTGGCAACTGTTGTTTCCAGATAATCAACAAGTGCGACTTTTGTGTTGTGATGGCTATGTGCATGATGTTTATGCCTTGCCATATACGCAATTAGACTATTTAAATAACAAATCAAAGGACATGGCTCGTTCCCCATACATTTAATGCTCTAGAACGCACAGCAATGAGAAAATGCTAGTTGTGTTCGGAATCATTCATAAACTCTAATGAGGCATTTGTTGAGATACGGACAACTTGAGGAACCGTGGCCTACTACAGAATGTATTAGATTTTGAGGTTATAATTATTATACTTAATCGTAAAAGATGTACACTTTATATATTCTGAATAGATTTAGTGTATACCTCTATGTAAGCACTTAAATAATATGCATTAAATGAACATAAAATGCAATTAATAATAAAATTAATAAATGCTTATATTCATATTTTTTATGAGTGTTGGCAGTTGGCACCTATGATAACTATACCTACCTGTTGTAATAATAGGAAAGGCTTTGAACATTTCATTTGAAAAGAAATTCAAATGAAATGTTCAAAGCCTTTCCGTTTACCTGTTTCTATATTTTAATATCGGTAATAAGGTGTATAATGTACCTGGTTATCATCATGATTTTCATAAAAATAAACAGATATTATATGGGATGGGAGTATAGACTATCTTTAGGTACATAATTTCTGAAATAATCTTTTTATAAATACTTGTGACAAGTACTATTAACTAAGGTGCCTAGTTCTATTCTTATGTTGATAAATATTTATGGTCGCCTATATTGCATTTATTAAGGTATAAACAATCTTGGCACAACTTTTTAACAAAATCACCCATTTAAAAATTACGAAGCCAATAAACTATTAAAATAAATCGTTACTATAGACTGAAACCTATTGAATTCAGTTATCAGTTGATTTTTAATGCTGTATTTTCAATAAAAAGGAGTGCCGAGATTGATTACCGAATAGGACAAGTTAGGATGATCAGAACTTTTATTTTTTTAAACATATTGTCCGTTTACTATGATTATTTGCTAATAAATTAAAAAAATAATAGAAAAAAAAATAGTGAAGGACATTCTTTTGGGCATGCTAGGGCCAATTTCGTCGATCGTCGTCGACAGTACCTAAATGACACACAAAATCCAGGCGTTAAAAATATTCAAAAAAAGATTTGTTTCTATGATCGAAATTGAATAAAAATGTAATATTCAACTTGATTCAATTGTAAATCTATTTCATGATATAAGTATAGAAAAAAATGTTTTAATGATGTTAAAGTTTCAGACACTTGAATATAAAACAAACATTACGAAGATAAAAGTAGGTGTTAATAATAAACAAATTAGATGGCTCGTAAATACTTATCCTAATATGAAATTTAACAAAATCAAAGCTAAATTTCTTTTTGAAATAGTATATTCGAATCCTTTTTGCGCATAGTTATTAAAAAATATAAGTACATAATAAAAAAATTGATTATCACTCATTACCATAAATAAAAAGAGCAAACAAACATTGAATAAAAAAAGAAACCTATACACTAACATTTAGATATTTAATAAAATTATACTCACATTAAGCATTCTGTGACACAACTAGCATACATAGCGCTATGGATACACTTGCACATTCAGCATGCAGCATGCAATTAGTTATTAACTAACCTGTAGGAGGACCACACGACGTCACGGGGGTATCCTGTCGATGTTAATAGTATGTATGCAAAACTAAATCCTGCCGATATCCCAATCACCAGAGTTAGCACAAAACGTCGGCCCATCACCCTCGCCTCTGCCTGTACAGGGGAATACCTCAACAACTTGTACATAACATTGAGTTCTCTAGATTTATTTATTTTTTCTTTTAAACGCATGTGTGTTCCCGCTACGTGGTGCTAGTACCTATATTTTTATTATTATTATTCTGTGGTGCTAGCTGATCGCGCGTAATGTTTGTGCAACGAATGCCGTGGTATGACTGTATCATACAGACAAATTGGCTTGTGACTACTACAGTTTGTATGAAAATACTGCAAATACCAAGTTGGTTCAGTATTAACATTAACTTAGCAAAACAATAAAGATAAGTTTGTTTTAGTTGCACTTTTGTATGAAGTTCTCTTTACTATAAACCGTTATAAGTAGTAAAATCTATTTTTAACCTTTTTTTCAATGACAAAAAGAATTTTATTTTTCTGTAAAACCATTGAAAAAATAGATATATTTTTTTTAATTTCTAGTGGTAGATAAAATCGAAATTAAGTATCTAGTGGTAGGTAGTCGCATACCAAAAAAAGTGAAATTTATAAGAAGACATTACAACGGTTAGAAAGATAAGCATAGAGTAGGTATTTGTACATAGAGTATTGCCTAGTGATCGAAAAAAACTGATCTTGGAAATCAATGGCATCTGCATTTATACACTTTAAATGTATGAAGTGCAAAATATCAGCCATTCTATCTGCAAGTACAGTTTATAATTAACCGTATTACTTTAAACGATCTCTTTATTTTTAATTTTGTGACAGGATGTAATGATATGAACGGTTCTGGGGCCAAATTATCGTAGAGAATTATTAAATGTTCCGCAGCCGCGTAATATAAGCGTAGGTGTGCGCTTCAATTGTTCAAATTGGTTATATTAACGACCCAATTTATTTAGCTAAAAATCTACAATGCGATATACAAATGGGTTAAAAATTTAACAAATATACCATAGATATGGTTTCGTTACCTCAGGCAAGCTTTCAGACTATAATCGCTGGACGGACAGAGACAATTCAACTTTTAAAGTTTAGAAACTTTTTTATGAATAGTTTATGTTTATGATTCATAAATTCAGATTGTTGATAAATTATGAACAATCTGATATGAACAAATGTTAAAATGTCATAGTTTAACACAAGTAAATGCCTGTTCCGAGATTCGAACCTATGACAGAAACATATATATTTATACCCTTGAGAGTAGTAACAATGGTTCTCAGAAAAAGTCAATCCATTCAAGTAAGGCTTTTTATAAACAAAATAAAAGTCGAAAGACTATGCCATAGGTTGGCAAATCTACAGCGGGAAACCTTGTACTGAGAAGAACCGGCAAAAAACTCAGCCAGGACTGCTTTTTTCAAACTTATAAAAATTATACTGAGGTGGAAGCAGAAAACCTCTCTACCTTGCATATGTGATGTCTCGCTCTTACAAGAGAACTGCTTGTCAGATTTCATAATAAGTTCTGTCCAAGCAATCAAACTAGCAGAGCTTTTTTTTCAATCAATCAATATCTTTAAAAGGACAAGGATGGTAAACTGCGGCACGTGAACATTCATGAGACGCTCATGCAGCCGTCAGTCAATTCCATCAGTCATAAATAATAATATAATTAAAAATGTATGGCGACTAAAAAATATTTAGTCACACCATTAGATACTGGTTATCCAGCAGTCATAACTTTAACTGCCAGGAAACTGACAGCAAAATCTACAGTCTAAAGGATGCCCAAGTTGGCTGTTACTGGCCGGAGTAAGTGCTCCCACACATAGCTGCGAATTCGAATCGAATCGCAAATATCTGCGAGCTCGCACGAATGCACCGCAAGAACTTCCGATCTGTTTCGCACCACACATTTCTGAGATATTATGTCACACTTGGTGACACCATTTTAGTCCGTTCTTAGGTTCTTATCGTCCCTTGTACGATCATTTTTGTAGACATGGTGATAATAAACTCAAAAGACTTTAAATGAAGATATGCTAATTCTAATATAATAAAAAAAAACCTTCTTCTGTTCTCAAACCATTGTATTTCCAAGTAAGATAGTTACCATCATCGTACATAATCGTAATAAATGGATAAACAAAAAACCTTCTTTTTTCTATATCTATTTAACAATAACAGCAGTGCAAAAATCTTTTTGCGATCCGTGTCACATTACTAAAACAGGTCCAATACGGCCGACTACCGTTGAAGGCATGGCCACCTTAACCAAAAAATATTTTCTGGACGAAATCGCATCGCATCGCATTGCAGTTTTGTGTGGCCTTCGCCTTAACGCCACTACAGCCCTCAATATTCTGGTTAATGACTGAAAAGTCTATAGTTCCAGACAATATGGGGCATATTTTAGATTTAGTAAAAATTCATTGCCTCACCGAGAATCCTCAACTACTGTATCTTAGACGAAAATAAGTATAGGTATAGTTTAGCTGAACGTCGATTTATGGTGACTCACAAACAACATAACATTAATTTATGTAGAACCGGATACCTATTTCTCATAAACAATTCTTAGAGGAGAATCCAAAAATAAAAATTTCGAGAATTATCTACATCACAGTATTGATATAGATGTCGACGAATTTATATCGATTCAAGAAAACAATAATATTGTCACCAAGAAAGCATTACGCCTTCATGCTTCTTCCACACCTGCGTGACGAAGCTTCGTACTAAATACGCTAAAATTAGCATAGTAGTTTTATCGTAAAGAATTATCGAGCTGCGGGACGATAGACACTAGACGATAGCTTGACTATTGCGGTTTTTAACATACTTCAAAGACATTCCACATCCACAACCGCGACGACGACGACAAATTTGTATGTACAGCTGGAGAATACGCTCCTCTTCCTGCAAACGATAGTACTAATTCAGAATTCGTCGCGCAGGTTTGAGAGAAGCATCAGAATAATAACTAAAGCAGTTACGACTTACGACAATTGATGGTACAAGTAGCATTGGATTTTTTATGGAATCCCCCAAACTCTAATATTATGTTTGAAAGAAGTCCATATGCACCCTTCTCAACAAAAAGAAGGAGAAAGGAATGCTTCAATCGGAGAGGAAAGCTAGTGAATTTTAGGAAAAGTAAAGTTACAGTAGGACGGAATACTACTCGCCCAAGAAAAGAATTAGAAAATGTCGACGCAAAACATTCTCAGTGATAAAGCACTTTTTGAGCAGGTGTAGGTGTATAAAAGTATTTTATTTATATTATTCCCAATGCCGTAGCACCTATGGAGATTAGGTGACCGTGCTACAGATCAGGGATGTAATGGAGGTAAATTTATCGGAACCGAAGTCGGAGACGAAGTTTTTAAATTTGATTTATCGGAGTCGGAACCGGAATCGGAGGCAGAGTTAGGGTTAGCGGCAGAGTTAGCAGTGGTCACAAAAGAGATATTTTTCATTTAAGAACAAATCAAAACATCATTCAGTCCACCTTTTATTTCATTTTAATTATAAAATAACCCTTTTTTTATTTAAATTTACTTATTATTAACACAGACTCCCAACGCGACGGGTATGAACCAGTTCGTAACGGTCGACGCAGGCCACCGTCGTTATTTGCAATGCTTCGACCTCCGATTAAAACCTCCGATTTAAAAGTTCGGAGCCGAAGTCGGAACCGAAGGTGTAATAATAATCGGAAGTTCCGACTTATCGGAATCGGAGTCGAAGCTCCGTAACATCCCTGCTACAAATAGGTATGTTTTGCTATTACAAAAGTATCTTGTCTGTAGCCAAAATTTAACAAAAAGTTTTACTATGTAAATGGTACTCACTTTGCTCAAACATATGCATAAATACAGGTGTATATATGGGGATCGCCTAAACTTGAACATGTTTGGCATTGCTATAGGTATTATAGTAGCTTTAGATTTTATGTCCACATAGCGAAAACACACATATCGCGTTAGTCATTTTGTTAACGACACTAGAAGCCGATTATCACCAACCATCACCTTTGCTGAACATACAATAGTAAACAATACACAATATTATTTACAAACAAGCTGAAGATATGTTTGTTCGCAGTGAAGGTATACATTTTTTACATTTTGTTTACATTACAGAGTGTGCTGTAGAATTCTTGGTGTAACATTAGTTTTGTTATATGTATTAAGATAGAAAGGTTAAGTATTTGAAGCTATTTATACAAAAGCCTAAAAATCCAATGCAGTAGGTAGTGGAGTGCTGTTTCAGATATACCTGAATGTTTACCGTTCTTTGAGCTGTCTAAGAATTCGTAAGTGTTAAAAAATAAAAGTAAACAATCCAAAGGTAAACCATATAGGGTCGTATGGGGTACAGTGACTCCGAAAGGTACACTGACTCAATAGGCTTCCTCTAGACATCAATATCTGCTGTTCTTATTAACTCTATGCTAGGACTAGGCTACCAAAACCCAAGAACAAAGCATTTGCCCACTCCTTTGACATAAAGATATTGGCATGGGTGTATTTTAGCCATACTAATTTATCGTCAATATATTTATTTTCTATAAAATTGTAATGGGCTTGTAACATAGCACTAAGAACTTTAATGATAGACGTTTATCTATATCAAAGAGCATCTACAGGTGTTTCAAAAGTCCGAAATAAAACTTAAGGGTGTTATTGCGTTCCTTATAAAGAATTACCTATCAAAGTTTGTCGCCTTTCAGACCACATTTATATTTCGATAAAATTAATAAAAATATTGTTTTACACCAGCCTATGACAATCCTAAAAATCAGTACGATTACTATTACCACTACGCAAACAGTCAGTGGGTGACCCCTTCGCCCCGCGCTTTTGTTTCGTCATGTACCACGCGCGTTATGTATGAGAGTTCAGGAATGATCATAGATACTTATCGACTCGAGGAATGGGGTGTCAGGTATTATCAGAATTCTCCAAAGGACGACACTAATGCACGCTACAGTACAACATAAGTTTAACACCAAAAATATTACTGCACTAAGTTAGGCTTAGTTAGTTACTTAACGTTAAAAAATGTAATGCCTTTTTCCACACACACAAATTCATCTGGGTCCTGTTGAACTGATACGGATCTTGACCATCACTTGGCAATGTCCGCCACATCAATCCCGGGTCCCGGGTTCCCGAGTACTAGGGCTTCCCGAAGTCGTGGAACATCGAAGCTCCCTGTGCTCTGTAGCCGCAGACACCATATTACGGAATACGCCGACGCCGGGCGCCGTCGCTGTTCAGCAAACGTCTTACCATCGATGAACCTCACCCTATACAGTTCACAAGTGCGATTGTACGATTGATATATCCATCAGCAGCACCGACACAAAATCGTTTCATAAAGTCGCTGTTTGACTAATAACGATCATTTTGATTCGCAACGTAACTATCATCACATCACCTTGACTGCTCGCATGCTACTAAGGAAGAAAAATGTTGAAAAAACTAACAAAATGCAAAGGACGATTTTAAGGTTCCGTTTTAAAAAAGTTGCTTAGAATCGCCTAAAGGGGGTTGGCGTAACATAAACATATGGACAAAACTTTGGTATACCTACCTTGTTATTTAAGAAATATGTTACTACAACATATTTCTTAAATAACAAGACATTATGACTAATTATATTATTACTTTTTTATGCACCAGTATTATTAAAATAATCTTGGTATAAACGTTATTATTGTTACGTTAACATTACCATTGGTCTTATTGTGAAGCCTCAATACATAATGGGAAACTAGACATCCGATTATCCTATGTACGTCATAGAATTATTGGATATTTTCTGTATGGTCTAATCATTAATAAATAAATACAAAAGTTTGCGAGCGCAATTCCTGTAGTCGTGAAATAGGTAGGTAAGAACTTACGGACCTTTCAATTTGGCGTTATATCCAAGACATTTTCGCCTAGAACTGTAAAATTTATTAATAGTCATTATTATAGAAAAAGCAATCTTTATTTTAATTTAGCTTTTTATGCTATGACACCTCTGTTTCCTCATCTATGTTTGTTGTAGGTATTTTATTGTTGTCACATCTAAGTTTTAGTGAGATACATACCTACAAATTTTATTTCGGAATTCTGTAACACCCAGTATATTAAAATCAATAATTTTGAGATAAATTACAATTACAACCTAGGCCCATGTATGTGTAAAGGTATATACCTGTATCTCAATAAAATAAAAAAAAAATAGTCTATAAAGTTATAAAAATAAGTATAAAAAACTAAAAAGTAAGTTCAAGAATATATTGAAAAGAATTCTTACATATTTCTGTGGATCTGACAGATTTTTTTCATTTATTAACATAATAGCAACCAAGTAATATTTACAAATTCTTACAAACTCTCTGAGCAGCTACAGTAATTGCAATTACTGTTTTTATGATCAATAAAGCTGCTATGCCAATCAATATAGTTAAAAAATTTCACTTTGAAGATAAGATAAAGGTAAAAAATATGTTTTCAAACAATTGAAATGTCTAACAAGTAGTTACTATTCAAAAACAACTTGATAACAAAACCACTGTATTGCATAAGTTAACCGCAAACCGTTGTGTTGTGAGATGGAGAGTCTGTTAAAAACAAATTCACACAAAAAGTTTAATATAAAATGACTATGTAAGAATATATTTCCATTGCCATTATAAGACTTGCAATTATTATGAGACAAAGCATGAACAATTAATATTCACAAAGGCAACTTAATTAAAGGTACCTCACCATTGAAAATAACATTCTGTTAAGAGTCATGTGATATGATTTTCTTCTAAATAGAAAATCTGTTTTTTTATGAAATCTGAATAATTTTTAGAACATTAACCATGTAATATTATAATTATGTATGTTTATTGGAAAATACATTTAAAGATATAATATAATTTGAGTCAAAATGGTACTTACTTTTAATTTAAAAGTAATTTATTAAATTTAATAAGGCTACTAACAGTGAAGGTTGTTTGATTCGTTGAATAAACAATTATAAAGGGACAGTGGCCCCATCAGCTTGTCCTACTGGTGGAACCATTGTTTAACACATAGTGTAAAAAAGATGCCATCATAACACAACAATTTAACAACAAGTCTTCAGTGCTTACTTTGGGGCAAGGCTAATTGGTGTGAGTTTCGAAAATATTTATTTATTTATTACTGAGATGTCTGAAGAAAAGTCTTTTAATATATAACAATACTACATTAAAACTGTATTAATACCTATATTATTATTTATTTTTTGTCAGATTCAAAAGAGTTGTACTATGCATCGAATTCGAATAAAGGTATTATGATTTAGTTCTTTTTATTTATCAATATCATATTATTCACCCTTGTCCAGTAGGACCACGGGTACATAGTGGTATACTGTGGTCCTACCACTAGGGCAAACTGGTGGGACCACAGGCCTGTATATGACCGTATTAACCCAGACACCTGGGATATGGAATAGGCAGTTTAAATTATCTTAAAAAATAAAAAAAGCAATTAAATGCTCCGTAAAAATAAAAAAATAATAATATACCTAAATATAACAATAATGAATAGCAACAGTGAATGTTGATTATATTTAATCAATGTTTATACTAAACTATGCGCTTTTTATGAAACCTAGGTATGTATCTTGTAAGAAAACTGATGAAGTTATCTATTCTTTGTATACTGACATAAGTAATTAGGTTAAACAAACCAAATAAAATATAGGTTAAATCAATAAATGCTTTGGAAATACATAAACACATTCTAAGACATAGACCAAAAATAATAACTGGACTTTAAGTGAACTTACAGTCATTCTGCTCTCTCTTTCAATATTTACTATCCTGTGTAGGCAGATATTTTCAGTGCAATCCCATGTTTTGCTGTTCGAGTTTTATCCACCTAAACTTCTGCTAGGAGATTCTTCAATTAACTAGCTACTTTTACTACGTAAATATTAAAAAAACAATATTGCAGTAATATCTCTACTCTCTAGTAATATTGATGTGACGGTGTGACAGACTATTTTTTTTTTGTAGGAAAGGCAAGGGGAACTAAAGCTCATACAGCCTCTTTTTTTTTCTTCAAAAACCATTTAGTTTATTTGAATTATATTTTTTATTTTATTTTGAAGAATACTTTACCTATGGGTGAAGCTAAGCAAAGCTTTCACAGATGACATTAATAAATTTATGAATTAGTTGATAATTATCAGTAATCTTTTAAACGATTTTGTGAATTTGATTATAAATTGATATAATGGAAAATTATCGATTATTTCTCTCAAAACCATGGATTTTTCTGTAGTTTATAATCGCAACCCTTTAATAGATAAAAAGGTTTTGCAAATAAGTTTTATTGAGAGTACTGGCTGGGACGAAGAATTAAAGGAATGGAATTTTGGGGATGTTTAACCGCTGCTCCCCACTAGCGGAATAATAAAACGGCAAATACGGCAATACTTGATCAACTTGGAGCACTATATTAGGAAATATTCACAATTATAAAAATACAATACGTATGGACGAATTTTCTTCTGCAGTTTATTTTTAGAATGACAACTTATAAATCAAACAGAAAATATATGAAAAGAACATTTTTCTTTTCTAAATGGCTACGCACTACTTGTGCATTTAGCCAATGTCAAGTGTTAAAATGTTTACGAATACTATAGCACTCGTGGTCAAAGTTAAAGTAATAAATCAAGTTAAAGTAAGTGGCAGTCAAGTCAAAGTAAGTGGTAGTCAAGTCAATCCCCCTTTCCCTATGTTTCAGTAAATGTGTGGGGATTTACTGGAACCTCCCCGTAGACTTCTTGAGGGTACGTCGAAAGACACTTTCTGCTATTTTGTTTCACTTGCCAACACCAGTTTTCTGTTACCTCGAATATTGCGTATTGCTTATTGACTATGCAATATGGTCATATGAACTTAAGATCCTTTGCCATCAACTTAGAAGAATTACAAAACATCGGCCATCCATCCATATTGTTTTCCATCTGTGTTTTCCATCATCGGTGTTTTGTGTGTTGTGTTTGTTGCGACGACGCGCAACGCAGAGATTTTATTATTTATATTTTCTCAATAAATTTAAACATTTTCGAAAGAAATACATCTGGGGGAAAATGTTTCTTCATTGATTTGCAATCGATATGCCTTTATTTAATTTTTCGATTCCAATCATATGTTAGTGTACAAAAATGTTGCGTTCAGTTTTCTGTTTTCTTATTGTAATAGCTTGTTTTTTCCATTATGTTACGGCACACCGAAATAAATATTCAAAATTTTGTACAGACAATAATCTGAAAAGTATTAGTTGCAATAGTCAGGTGAGTGCGTATTCTTTTCTGAATGATAAACAGTGAGAATAGTCGTATCGATTTTTCAGTTTGAAGGTGACTAGGAAACTTGTATTATAATTAAAATGAAAACTAATTTAATATAACAATATTATATTAGTTTTTTATTGTTATATTATTGTTATAATGCCCATAAATCTATGAAAATTATAAAGATTAACAGACCTTATGACTTCTGGGTCATTGTGTTTCAAGTAAGTAAAATACCACTACTACAGTATTCTAACATTACGACCTCTGTTTATTTGATCATCATGTCATATTAAAGATAACTTGTTTCGTCGATGGTTAAGATCCTAATGTTGCTTAAGCAATAACATGATAGGGCACATTATAACAGCATGTTAAAATATATTCTTAGTCTACAATTCTCTACTACAACCTTTTCTGTACAATATAATTATGCAACAAAAAACTTAATTAGTGTATTTAATGCACATTACATTGGTGTTGTGTTGATTACGAATTTATATTATTTGAAATATGAAATGAAAACTTCTTATTTTAATTCGAAAAATTAGAAATGGTGATTTTATTTTGCTACTGCTGTAGATGTGTTATTTTACTTTAAATACATAACATATCACTTAAAACTTTACTGTTTCTATGTTAAATTAGTTGTAATCCTAATTTGCTACAGTTATAGCTACATAGTTTTGCTATATACACATATATCTCATTAAACTTTACCATTTCAATGTTAATTAAGTAAACAAACTGCAGATTATACAGTTGAAACTGGATATAATGACATTGAAGGGACCATATACCTTCAGACATTATAATAGGTAGATGTTAAAAGCAATCTTGTAATAATATAAACTCATGATTGTACTACAGTTGTCAGGAGAGAAGCCCACCGAATCTAATGTTTGCCAAGTGGAACACTATGCTCCAGATAGTCCGAAATGCAAGTATATGGATTTTGGACCCGTCAAAACTAACACACAGATTGGAGGAGTGAGCTTGAAGCCATATCTACTTGATGAAGGTCATAGCTCTCTCAATTTTACAGTTCTCAACATCACATTTACCAATATCAAGTGGAAGAGTAAGTAATAAACATATTGCTATACTGAAAGAATGTTATTACTAAATAACTGTGGCTACAAACCGATTTAATATTTTGCTTTTTGTGAAACCATTTCATATAATGATTTTATATTTAAATATACGTTTTTGTTATTAATTACAGCAATGAAGTTTCGATTTCAACCAACCAACGCTCAGAGAAATCATTGTCGTAACATCATTCTGTCAAACAATTTTACCATTGACGACAGATCTATTTTGTATTATGATTGTTATTGGTCGTACACTGATGGTGATTACAACAACACCAGCCATATTCTGGACTTTGTGGCTACTGATGGAAGTACAGAGAACAGGGGCCAATACTACTTCAACATTCCCACAATGCAGATGTTGAGTAAGTATACACATTTCTTTCTGTTCATAGTTTCTTAACCGCTACTGAACTGGCCATATTATAAACACTTACTGTCTTATTACAAAATGTAGAGTAAAGTTAAACCTGAACTAAAACTGAGGCTGTCAATTCAGTTTTCTAAAAAGAAGACAGAGACATCATTAGGTTTAAAGTAAGACTAAGTTTACTCCACGTTTTGGAATAAGGCGGTAAATGCCAGGCAAGTTCTATTGTTATATGGAGACATCACATTACCTATTCTTCAGTAGCACAATATCCCACTTCAACACCTGTTATTGACTGAAGTTGGCAGTTCATAGTATGATCCCTAAATATCTAGTACATTGCTCTGATCCTATTTTAAGGTGTTACAGCATTTGTTGAAGTCAAACAATGGCAGTATTTTATCCTTGACCGAGACTGGAAAGGTAATCACAACTAAAAAGAAATGTCATAAAGCGAAATAATTATGGTAAAATATATTTTGTGTACATTAGGCAAAATTGTATTCTCTTGAGAAAATTGTATTCTATAGTTTCTTTTAGAAAGAAACTAGTGCCTTAGTTGAAATAAAATTAAGTTTTGACATAACATAGTATACTTAACATATAAAAGAAGGAGCTCATTGCAAATGTACCTTTTTTTAATAAGCTATATTTTTATTCACTTTGCTTACTGACTTATGAAATTATAGATGAATTGTTTTAAATTTAGATTTTAGGTTTAATTATTTGATTTATCAAAACATGAAAAATGTTAATGTGCCTCTTCTCTTTCTGTGCCCTTCATATGACATTATTAGCAATAGTTTATGAGGCTATAAAGGCTCTGACACTTATTGTGTCATCCATATAAATTTCAAACAAAACAAACAATTTATGAAAATGATATATAGTGTATATATAGTATTTTATTTATACATTCCTGACCTTCTTCGTTGTTATTTTATTAGTTTTCCTTGTAGGTATATATATTTTGTAAATTTAGTGTCAGTCAGTTCAACCGGATGATTCATATAGATAATTTCTTTATGTAACCACTATATTTAAAAGACTTACCAAAATCTCTGTTTTTATGAAGTTTTTTCTTTTTCTTGACTCGGAAGGGGAGCGAACCCAGACATAAAGAAAGACTACACACTTGCCTTGACTATAAAAATCGTAAAAAACGTTTACTCAAGATCATTTCAGCACTTTCAGTCACATGAAATGTTTTACAAATTGGTGTCTTAATTTGCTTAATACCACTGTGTAAGTTTCGGGACTAAAGGCACAGTTTACTTAATAGTTATAAAGCTTTGTGCACATTATATCAAACCCAAAACGAATCAAAACCGTTATTACATTGTCAGGAACCATAGCTAAGCATATCGACAACTGCGGTACGTCCATTTGCGGCACGTCTACATATAGGCAACTACGTACTCACGGCAAATCGACGCCAAGATTACACTTAGGCATCCATTGGTAGACAACAATCTGCCAACTTCTAGTTAGTTTTTTTAATAGCTAAACGTAACGAGTGGTCGCGATCAACTCGCGGTCACCGGACCGCGAGTTGATCACTCACCGCGTGACAGCTCACCAGTCCCGGTAGAATGAGCTCCTCAATTTACGTTATATCACATTTTTAACGCGTCTAACTGTCAAAGTCCATAGTAATTTGACACTTGAGCGTGATAAAAACAAGAAATGTATCATATCGCGGTGCCCATTCTAGGGGGGCTGGTTCCGACTTCCGGGGCGATTATTTATTTGAGTAGTGGGTGTGAAATCTTTGTGAATACCCTGAGACAGTCGTGTGGGGATACCTCTGGCCATTAGAGCTTATTCAAATGACACGCGCAAGCACTATGCGTAAACCCACGCCTTAACACCGGCTTTTAAAACGCTTTGAACTTGCAGCAAATTTGAGTTAAATGACAATTTAATATTTAGTCATATAAATCTCAAATTACATTTATCAAAGTCCAGTCGTTCACGCCATAAACATCTTGCAGCCAATTAGACTTTGAGCTGACAACGTGCTGACATGCATGACATACGCTTAGTGTGCGCGTATCGTCTGGATAAGCCTTCAAAGCCTATTCGCGGAGGTGCGATTTTTTTGACGCTGAGTGAATTACGGTGCTGATGAGTGTGAAATGCACCTGAAATTTCATACAAATGAAGGCGCAAGTCGATTGATAGTTGGTACCAATCCGTTTTGGATATATGTGTGTATTAATACCTGATAGAATCAAGTTGAGTAACCAATAAATGTGGTAATCCCTTAATTTATTAGCAACGACTAACACACAGGTAATTATGACAAGGGTTTATTTCAGTGAAACTCCACACGCACCCACGTTTCCTTTAGCTCAGTGGTCGCAATCCTGAAATTTCCAGAATAATGTAAAAAATGAATACAAACTTGCAGAGTCCCAGTGATGATAATTTCAGATATATTTCTTGTTGTATTTTCAGGTACAAATGTAACGGAAGATGAATGGAAACCGTTTCTCTACATCGAAACACTGCCGAGTGTGCTCCGACTGCACATTATGCCCCCTCCTGACCAGCTCAAAATAATATCGTACAAAATCGAAGTGAGAAAAGGATGCAGCCAAGTTTCTGCAGATTGTCACAACGAGCTGGTCAAGAGATCGACACTGCCGTTGAAAAATTCCACTCAAGAAGTAACCCATGACTTCTATTATTTGGGAAGCTCTGGGTTGTTTTATTTCGTGGTGACACCGCTACACAAGCTGTGTTCTAACGTCGAAGATAAATGTCAAAGTGTTGTCAGCCCGAAGATTACGATAAGTAAGTTGATTTAATTCATGACAAAGCACCTTTAATTTTTTTCATAGCCATGATTTGCGCATTCCTCGACTAACTTAGATGACCCTCGTGGCCGAGTGGTTTGTACGCCGGGTTTCATGGTGTCGGCGACTCGAGAGGTCCCAGGTTCGAATCCCGGTGGGGGCAGATGTTTTTGTGTTGAATACGAGCATTTGTACTCCAGTCATGGATGTTTTTATGTATTTCTATATAAGTATACTTATATATGTACTGTATATGTATTCTATCCGTTACCCTGGTGTCCCATAACACAAGCCTTACAGTGCTTACTTTGGGGCTAGGCTAATTGGTGTGATTGTATTCGGGTGCACTAAAGCAGCTATACTCTAAGTGTGTTCCGCGGAACCCTAGGGTTCCGTGATACCTCTGTCGGGGTTCCGCAAGAATTTAGAAAATAAAAAAATCAAAACACCTCTCTCTGGTCGCTCCGCGGCTGTGCGGACTCCGCGGCCGCGCGGAGACAAAACGCTATGAATGTTATTTATTTATTTATTTGTATTTGTATAAGCTTGTGTTACATTAGCTGGTACAATATCTCATAAGTTTGGTCTCAACAATTTTATACTTGTACAACGCGTTCGCTCTAAGTTTGCCGGTCTGTGGAATGCGCGTACCCTCCCCCACGTGACAACAAAACTTATAATGTGTCATAGTTTTACCCAAATATCTAACGTACACAATTTTTATTGTTACAATTAAATAAAAAATTTCGAACGTCATACACTCATACCTATCGCCAGCGGCAAACTTAAAACGAGCGGGTAGTATACTTGTAAGCGCTCAGTCTCTTTGATAAAAGCCGCCTCTGAATTAGACGCTATAGTTGTCAACTAGCGACTTTCGTCTCTAACTTCAAAGGATAAAGTCGATATTGTTTACAACGCTATTTTTAAATTTCTGTTTTTATTTTTGCTTTTTGTTTATCAAAGGTGCCGACTCGAGTATTTTCGAGAATATTTGAGATCGAGTCTAGGACTAAGTATAAAAGCGGCGATCGCGCGTTGGCGTCGTCAGTTGATGATTAGCGTTCGGAGCGATAAGTTACTACCTACTTACAAGCTCGCTAGCGAGAAACTGGTGTTCATTGTTTTACTGCCTGCTGTATTCTGTTGTCTCAGTTTTATACATTTCTTCCCTGTAGGTTCTAAATTTAGTCTCTTATACGCAGTAACGATTGTGCATTATTTAAACCCCACTATCCTGACTTGTAACATTATAAATAAAGAAGAATGGAACGTTGGCTTAAAGGTGTTAAACGTGTTCCAACAACATCTTCTAATGACGCTGAATGTTCAAAAGCAATGCGCGCGGAGAATTTAGCAATCACCGATCCAGAAGATGATGCCACGAGTGCCACGACGTCAAGCTCGACGGTTTCAAAGACGAAAAAAAGGAAGTATGATGAATCTTATATCAGTTTCGGATTTGTTGATTCCAACGGCTCACCTCTCTGCATGCTCTGTAGTAAACTGCTTCCTAATAGTTCCATGGCACCTGCCAAATTGCGTCGACATTTAGAAACCGTACACCCCGAGACTAAAGACAAGAATAAAGAATTTTTTGTTCGCAAAAAAGATCAGTTATTAGAAAGTCAAAAAAATATGATGCATGTAACACAAACTACCAACGAAAAGGCCACGGAGGCATCATACTTAGTTAGCTATCGCATTGCACAAGCAGGTGAAGCGCACACTATCGCTGAGAAATTAATAAAACCATGTGTATTAGACATAACAAAATGTATGCTTGATGAAAAATCTGCAAAGCATCTTTCTACTGTTCCGCTATCAAACGATACTGTTTCACGACGAATCCATGATCTGGCAAGCTACGTCAAACAAGAACTAGTTACACGTCTACAAAATACACGATTCGCTTTGCAAATGGACGAGTCGACTGATGTCGCTGGTTTGGCTATCCTGCTGGTTATTGTGAGATATCCATATAAAAGTTCTTTTGAAGAAGACATGCTTATGTGTTCATCGCTGCTTACAAACACTACCGGGGAAGAAATTTTTAATAAAATAAATATATTTTTTGAAGAACATAATCTCAGTTGGAACAATTGCATTGACATTTGTACAGATGGGGCCAAGGCGATGACAGGTAAAACAGCAGGAGCAGTGTCACGAATGAAAAATAAAGCGCCTAATTGTAGTTCCAGTCATTGTATTCTGCATAGACAAGCACTTGCGATGAAGCAAATGCCGTCTAATCTAAAATTAGTTATGGATGAAGCGGTAAAAATAATTAATTTTATCAAATCACGACCACTACAATCCCGATTGTTCTCATTATTGTGTGAAGATTATGGCAGCAAACATAAAACACTGCTGCTCCATACAGAAGTGCGATGGCTGTCTCGGGGAAAAACTTTAACAAGGCTATTTGAACTTAGAGCCGAGTTACAAATGTTTCTTTCAGCAGATACTTCTTTTAATTTGAAGGACCGTTTGTATGATAAAACTTGGTTGTTCCGATTGTCTTTTATGGCGGATATCTTTCAAAAACTTAACGAATTAAATTTATCATTGCAAGGTAAACAGACAACAGTGTTTCAGGCCTATAATAAAATAACTACTTTTAAAAGAAAATTAGATTTTTGGATCATTTGCATTGGTAAGAAAGAAATAGAAAGTTTTACGTTACTCACTGAGTTTGTTAGCGAAAACGACTCAGAAATGTTTGAAGATAATGTGTTTGAAGAATTGGTCCAATATCTCAGTTCGATGCGCGCATCTTTTGAAAAGTATTTTCCCGAAGAACACAATACAAAAATTAAAGTGAACTCCTGGATTCATAATCCTTTTTTACCCAACTTGGAAAAGCCTGAAAACATGTCAAATGAGATATATGAATCTCTTTTAGAAATGTCATCAGACACAAGTATGGAGTCATTGTTCAAAACGACGCCTCTTAATGATTTTTGGTGCAGAATCCAAGATGAATATGCAATGCTTGGCCAAATGGCTCTGGATATTCTTCTCCCGTTCCCAACTACATATTTGTGCGAAACAGGATTCTCTACCTACGCAGCCACGAAAACAAAATATCGCAATAGACTGGACGCCGAAGCTGATATGAGACTCCAACTTTCTTCCATCAAACCTGATATCAAGCAATTGATGAAAAATAAAAAACAGTTTCATACCTCCCACTAGTTAGATTTTTTCTTTTTTAATGTTTTCTATTATTGTCCTTACCAAGTGGTGAAGTAAATAATAATTAGTAACGGATACATTGTACTTTTATTATGCTGATTAATATAGAATACACTTATAAAAATAATTGTTTTATTGTAGGGTTCCATCAAGTATTTTGCTTCCCAAAAGGGTTCCGTCATTTAAAAAGTTTGAGAACCACTGCACTAAAGACATTACTCAAACTCGGGCACCCGAAGCAATACTTACATTGTAAGACGGTGTCGGGTAAACAAAAGGAAATCTACCTGACTGCGGGCGTACTCGACTCCTTAGTCTTAGTAGAACGGCGGACTGTTTCCGCAACTCGACACCCAGTGCATATTTTGCGTGGGGATTGGCATCAGTCCTGCCATCCCAGCTCCTCCAGAAAGCTCAGCAGTCCCCGAATATTACTGCAGGCCTCTACTATTGTCTTCGGGCTTCCCATTAGAAAAGTCCTTTGTCTTGCAACGCCCCTGCACGCCAGCAGCACATGGGCGCTCATCTCCTCGTCCTCCAGGCAGGCTCTGCACAGAGGGCTGTCAGAAATACCTATATTACAAAGGTGTTTGTTGAAGTAGCCGTGACCCGTGAGTATACCCACGATTTGTTTTAGGGCTTGTCTAGGAAGTCTGATTAACTTACGTGTTAGCTGCAGGTTTTCCTTGGGAACGGTTTCCCTAGCTTGCCTGCAGTCCGTGAGTTTTGTCCAGTATTCGTCGTGTTGTCGTTGACAGCGCTCCCTTATCCAGGTTCGAAGCTGTCGATAGGGCATGGGTACAATAGGCTCCGGACCAATGGCCGTCCTGCTGGAACCTTCCCTGGCTAAGCAGTCTGCCGCATCGTTACCCCTTGAGCAGCTGTGTCCTTTAATCCACTGTAAAGTCAATCTATTGTCGTTACCAATATTAGTCAACTTACAGTGGCATTTATAAATTAAGCCTGATGTCATTATATTGTTGTCCAGTGCCTGTAGGACAGAAGCGCTGTCAGAGAAAATACGACACCTGTCATTTGCACTTAGTCGTTTCCCCAATTCCATTGGCACTCATATACGGGCTAATGATCAAATGTTATCGCGCTACTACCAATATATCAGTGTTGCTCAGTCCATTCTCTTTGTCGATGACTTCGTTTTATCATCCATCAATTTGAAAAGGACTTATAGGAAACGGGTCTCTTTGGAAAATATTTAATAGTTTTTTGTTGTAACTTGTAATCCAAACATGAGACACTGTTTCATGCCAACACTTCACTTGGCTATTCGTATTTGCTATTTGTTACTTGACAAGACTCTTGACTTTATCATGTTTTATAAGGAACTAGCGAGCAGCCCCGGCTTGCACGGGTGCAATGCTGATAGTAAATATACTACAGAATATCTTAGGCACGCGACCCCTGGCCGGTACCTCCGCAACCGTTATGTCCCTGCGTTTTCTGTAATATCTTCGAAAATATTCATTTAAATTACATGCTGTAAAGGGCCATATTGATCTATATTACATGCACAATGTATTTAAGGTACTTAATTGGATAAGGATAAATGCTGTATTGCTTAAAATCGCTTTTTCGTAAATAAACCTCGTAATAAGTAAAGGATAAAAAATTGTTATTGTGGGTTATCCCTAGGAGATAGACATATACCATTGCGGACTTTTTTGTAGACCATCTTAAGGTGTACAATACTGTAGTACAATATTCTGATCTATCTCGTAGGCTTCAGCCGGCGTTTGCAATGTAAGCTCAAAAATAGGTGTTTATTTACGACCTTACATTAAAAACCTCTAAAATTATCAGTGTTTCTCTACTATATTATGCATGTATTATACATGTAAACATTCCTCTTGAATCACTATCTATTAAAAAAAGCCGCATCGAAATCCGTTGCATGACATCATTATTTTTGAATGTCATTTTTGTCGAACTCACATTGAACGTTGTAACTTTTTTGTGTTTATAAGGTTAATGTTTGCGTATTTGCTGCAGGCAACGAAGTGCACAAATATTGGAACATTTGCATCGCCAGCGTCACTGCCCTGGTAGTGGCCACGTTGTTCGCTTACTACGTCCTGTTGCGAGTTATCAGACGGTTCTGGTGCAAGGATTATTCTTTAGCTGCAGGTAAGAATCAATCAATAAGTGTTCGTTCGTTATAATAAATGTTCATTGTAAACCAGTGTTGTAAGCCTAATAATTAAAAAAAAACGGACATGTACTGTTGACATGCGATAGAAGTAAAACCTACAAAAATTGACAACGCCTGTGTTAAAATTCAACTCTCTAGGTCAAAATTAAATATTTTATACTTAAATTGTTGCGAAAAATAAATAATAGCTTAATTAAAGAAAATAATGATTAAAAATAATCGAGCTCAGGATCGAACCATCAATCATCTGGTGCAGGGATGTTGCAGATGCCGATATTTTCACATCCGCGGATGCGGATGCGGATGCGGAGTTTAGCAGGCTCACATCCGCGGATGCAGATGCGGATGCGGATGTATAAGATATTATGTAAATAAAGTCTATTAATGAAGAATTAAAACAATGACAACGTAATTATTAACATTTTTATTGTAATCAAACATAATTAAGTACTTATTGTTATGTTAAATATAAGTAATATATAATGTAACAAATTTTTTAAACTTCACCTACTGTTTTTTATATCAGTAATTGAATTTAAAAATAGGAGCATTATACTTGATGAAGAGTAGTATTGCCGCCTTTTCTGATTCAAGTCTGTTACGCAGAGGTTCGTAAATTAATCCCGCGCTACTAAACAGTTGTTCGCTAGGAACACTGCCCGGTGGAGCAGATAAAAATCTTCGTACTATCGGCGATAATACCTTAAATTCCCCTCGATGTACACTCCACCAGTTTAAAGGATTTTCATTCACATTTATTCTTTTTTTAGTACGGTAAGCAAGTAACTCTTTTTTGAATACAGCTTCAATGCTACCATTTTCTGGCTCATCTTGACTCTCGTCTTCACTCGACGAATCTAACATCATAGCCAGGTCATTTTGTAAGCATGGCTTTTTGTATGCATAATATTCGCATCCGCATGAACATTCGCATTGATTAATGCGGATGCGGAAGCAGATGCAGATGTCCAAATCAATGCGGATGTTCCGCATTTGCGGATGCAGATGCGAATGTTCGCAACATCCCTGATCTGGTGTCGACCCCAAGACCGTTACTGTTTGGCTATCTGTCTTTTAAAGTAAATGATAAAATTGCGGATACCTATCTTGTGTCAAATACTCTTCTTCCGTTTAATCGAATCTCAAGTCACAACGGTGCTAAAGAAGTTTTCACTTCAAAAAATATAATTGAAAACATACATACATCTGAAGACAAAAAATTCTCTCGCAAAGTGCAGATGCTTGATGTGTGTTGGACTCACCGTTAGAGACAAAAGAGTTTCTACAATTCAAAAATAATAATGTACTAATTTAACTGCCATCTTACAAATTTCAGCCCAAGAAATCCCTGCTCCAACGAAAGTGCTTGTAATATATTCACCGGTTAGCAGACTTCACGCAGAATGCGTTGGATCGTTCATAAGTTACCTTCGGTCTGAATATGGCTTCGATGTGATGCATGAAGGAGATATCACTAGTACTTCCCATGGAGACCCTTATATATGGGCCGAGGACGCTCTGAAGTTAGCCACGCATGTGCTGTACATCGTTGGACCAGGAGAGGAATCGAATCTTTATAAAAGCATCTATGAGAAGCCTATTGGTGAGTAATTAATTTCTAGTTGGATTCTATCTTAAATAAAAATAAAAAAAATAATAATAAACGCCATCTAGCATGTAATGTCTAGAATGTAATAACATATGGAATGGTGTTATAGATATAGTGATACAAAACGCAATAGCTCTTCAAATGAAGATATGCTCATTCTAAAATAACACAAAAAAAAATCTTCTTTTCTTAAACCATAGTATTATCACAAAAGCTCTCGTACCAAAGCCGCGAAATTACTGGAAACACATTTGATCGGAGCGCCGCTGGTCGCGACGTGAATAATCTTAATAAAGGTCGAGTGGTGCGGTGAAATCAAGAAATCAATATATCTTTATTCAAATTGGATGTATAGTACAACACTTTTGAATCGTCCAAACATTTTTCTCCCTACCACTCGTTATAGGACATATTTTTTAGCTGCGGAGAAAAACGAGCGAAAAAAACTCCACAACATTAAAAGCATAATGTAACAACATTTACAAATCATTATGTTGTTACAACGTCAATACAATCATGATTTATTTAATATAGAAAACCTGTTGGAATGATTGGAACAGTTCAAACCCAAGCATTTTTGTCTGTAATATAATCAGACACTTTGTAATAAGCTTTTTTAATAAGTGCTTTTTTTATACTATCTTTGAATATATTTATGCTTAACTCTTGGATATTGCTTGGGACTTTATTGTATAAGCGAACACAAAGACCTTTTAATGAATTATTGATTTTGTGAAGCCTAGTAGCAGGTAAAGTTAGTTTATTTTTGTTTCTTGTATTATGTAAGTGTGTGAACATCACTGTTTTTAAGAAACAAATTAATATTTTTTCTTACAAGTAGGTGCATTCTAATATGAGCCTTATGCAGTGCGACGTAAGGGTGAAAGTGCAACGACAACTGCACTTGTTTACGCCTATTGCGCGATACCTACGTATAAATAATAATAATTTTATTTCCATTATGTTGTTACATCAAGAACATTAATAAATTAAGTTCTATAAAATTTCAAACAATCGCAGATACGTAACAGAGCTAATAAAAGGTTTTTTTTATTAAAAACTAAACGTAACAATACTGTAGCATTGACTGTGGGTCACTAGGAGAAACCTGCATCGTGAGCACCCTAATATTATAAATAGGATAGCGTCACATTAACAATTTACATGCAATTATTATTTGTAACAAAACAAACGTTATGAAATCAATTGAAAATAAATAAATGAAAATCAATTTTGTACGTATGTGTAGGTCTGTCTGTGTGTGTTAGTGTGTGCGTACGTGCGTGGGTGTGTACGTGTGTGTGAACTACAAACAGAACGTACGTCCTACGTATAAGTAGGGCCTACGTACTCGCTGGTGCTAGTAAAACCTGAATTAAATTGGACTTTTCTGGAATGCGTCGATTGGCTTATATAAACGCGTCTGGCGCCGCGCAGTGAACAGTTTAATTTCAAAGCGATAACAGCTGAGTACAAGGAAAGTGTTCAAGTGCGATTGTTCAAAAAATCTAAATAAAAAATTGTTTATTCAGTCTCGGCTGTTACAAGCACTTGAAGACCAAGAAGCTGCGCCAACGGTTCGCAAAATTACGGCGGGAGACCTTGTACTGATAAGAACTGGCAAAAAACTCAGCAGGGGCTGTTTTTTTCACCCTGTATTGTTTATGACTTCAGAGATACTTCTGAAGTCACCTTCCATTATATCATTTAGAATATATAGTTACAATAAATTTTATAGTTAAGTTTATATTTAGTATATTGGGAGCGGCATTAGATAGGTACCATAAGACTTGTATAGTGTACAGTGCAGAGATACTTCTGAAGTCACCTTCCATTATATCGTTTAGAATATATAGTTACAATAAATTTTATAGTTAAGTTTATATTTAGTATATTGGGAGCGGCATTAGATAGGTACCATAAGATTTGTTGAGTGTAGTATTGTGTGTTTAAAGAAGAACTGTCAAGCGTGAACTGGCATATAATTTCGGACCCCATCCCGACACGTAACATCGTTTTCGAGTAAAATAGTTTCCGTCAGCGTTCATAATCGTTATAAATGATTGAACCCAAAATCTTTTTCTTCTTCATCTATTTAACAATATAACAGCATTGCAAAAATCTTATTGCTATTCATGTCACTATTACTAAAACATGTCCAATACGGCTGACTACCGTTGAACATATGATCACCTTAACCAGAGTTTTGCCGTACGAACTCGCATCGTAGCAATTCGCGTCGCAAGTTCCTGCGATGCGACGTCGTATGGCATCAGTTTTGTGTAGGAGCCCTATATCATCTCCATTAAACAAAAACACATAAGGACATCTCAATGACGGTTAACATAAACATTATAGTTATATTTATAACGTTTTAAACATGTAACTGCTCGATGTTTATGTGTGTGATGTTTGCTTAAGAAAGGCTAGAGAAAATTCGACACGGCCATCAGGCCCGCGGTAGCATAATTGGTCGGTGCATTCGCCCGGATAGCCAAGAGTGCTGGTTCGAGTCCCGTCTGCTGCCTGGTGGTTTTTTTTCTATTAATATTTTCTTTAGATATAAACATTATAGTTTCAGGTGCTCACAAAGACGTAGATATCCTTCTACTGTCTATGCTCAGAGCTTACCGAGTCTCCAAACACCCGAAAGACATATCCAACGTATTCTTCGAACATTCCAACGGAGCCGTGCCCATAGAAACCAAACATGGCAAAGTATTCTTCCTGCTCAAAGATTGGCACAAGCTAATATCGCACCTATCAAAGAATATGTTGCCAAAAAAACAGATCATGCGCACCGAGAAAGGTAGGTGCTTCTTGGACGATTTGACTAAAGCGAAGAAACTTTTGGGGAACAAGTGTGAAAGGGAAAAGATATTGGTATAATTTTTTAATTATATTTTATTGTATATATTTAATAGTTTAGTAATAGATTTGAAATGTTGTAGACATGTCATTTATCTATTATAAGGTGTCCTATGATCAAGTGAGGTGACCCTATCGGTGGTGCATGGCGAAGGTTTAGATTTTTTATAACATATATTCCGTAATGATGGCAATCGATACTTAGGTTTATTTATACAGCCTAATGTTCAGTATTATTTTCTGTTTTACATTAAAATACAGATGTTGTACTTTTTAAATATTTCTTAGAATATTTAGCAGCAATTGTGAAGCTTTAATAAGATGGCTTAATCCATCATATCGCCTTAATCCTTCTTTGATAGATCCCAAGTATAGCTGCCAAAGGTCTAGTACTAGTGCTTGGCTTGGAGAAAAGAATGAAAACTGTATTTATGGAGGTGTCAGGAGTACAAATGTTGATATAATGTTTTTTGAATTTCTACTCAAACCTGTCTTGGTCATATGACGCCCTTAATTGAGCAGCGATAAATTTGGTTTGATTTTTAGAACTAACTATGCTAGGACGTTCTATTAACGCAATATAAGGAATTGAAAGTCTGAATATTACAATAATGACATGTCTACGAGATTGTTTAATTGAGTTAAGTACGGTGAAGGAGTGGTATATTACTCTTAAGGCTATAATCGCTTGCTCTCATATCATAACGTTATTTTCGTAACTATTCTCATTCTCGAGAAACAGTTCAAGCTATTATGGCCTTTATGTAACGTGCCATTTTCACTGTACGTTAAATTGTTTATCAGAGGGTCAGCACATTTTGTCATTCTACGGGTTGTTATTTTTGCAACTAGCTGCTAATGGTTGACGAGAGCTAGGAAACGATGTATGTACAATGCGACTCAACTAAGAATAGGACCGACTGGGCGCCATATTGTGACGTCATAACTGTCAATTCAAACCAGTTTAGTAGAGTGAGCAAAAAAGTTTTTCTTGATAAAACTAAACTTAAATAAAACTTGAATAAATAACAGATGTTTAATAATATTCATTTATTAAGACTGAGTGAGAAAAGAACATTGATCATAATCTAGTTCTTTAATTCCGCTCATCTCTGGACTACCGTCGGAGTAGTCATGATCACTGATGCTTTCGGCTATAAAGTAAAATATCGATTGTTGCAGGTTTTAAAACGACAACTTTATTTAAAATAAAAACGGTATTTTTATTACCTGTATAAAAACTATATTATTATATATTTACAAATCTTTGATATTTATTCTAAGATTAGCTCAGTGCTAAAAAAAGTGTTTCAAGATTTTTTTGCAAACCGTTCTTTTCAAGCGACATTTGACAGATGGAGGTCATTATTCCTATTCTTATTTGAATCTCATAGTAGTGTTTTAACATCGGTTATTAAAATTCAGTGGTCGGACAAAATGGGCTTTCTCCAAAAGAGATATAAATAATATTGTGAATCATATTTTTGTGGTTATATCTATGATTGTTGTCGTTGTATGTACCTATAACCCGGTCTGTGACTGTACCTTTGTGCTTTAAATTTGTAAATAGGTTCTATTATATTTTATTTCTATTTTTATTTTACGGCTATATATTAACCGCCTTATTACTTAGTTACGCCATGTTTTTTTCATGTTATTCACATGCCATTTGTCTTTCAATGAACAGAGACAAAACATGGATTAACTAATCCAAGCTTCTTCTTCGTTTATTAAGCAGGGGGTAACGGAGGATTTCTTCTGGACCTCTGCAACCTGGGTCAAATTACATTACTTTGTTGATATTAATATACTTGTATTGGTAAAAGAAGTTTAAGTTTTTATTATTCTCGTAAGAATTTTAGTTAATTTTTTTTTTTTAAAGAGTAGGATTAGTTAGTTTTTTATTTAAGGTATTGATAGAATTATGTAATTTTGAGCCTTGTTGCGTGAGAAAATTAATTTGGAAAAATTTTGGACCACAGATTTTTTATTTACAAGATTAGAAAAACGTCAGTGACATAAAAATTCTGTTAGGAATTTTCTCTACGCATTATCAATATTATTGTGTGTAGTTTTTGTCTGACTTCCATTTTCATTGGTTTGCACATTTAATTATGAGCACCTGAAGTGAAGTCTCTTCTATTATTTGAAGATAATAAAAAAAATCTTAGTGCCATAAATTCTTTATGTACGTAATTTTTCTATAAAATATATAATTGTTTCACTAATATTTAACATGGTGTCGACCAACATTTCTTAAAACTAAACAATAAAGCATTTATTAACGTTTTGGTAATGTATTTGAGGTAATGTTAATGTGATTGAATACAGGTATGAGGTATGGAACCTTAATGGATGTTCTCTGCTCTATATTTGTATCTTGTTGATCTCAGAAATACTGTTAAACATGTGTGTTCTATCATTACTACAGGACTTTCAATTATTAAGCTCAATATATTATACCTTTATGATGTATTTTTGTAATAAAGCCATACGTATTTCATTAAGTTTTATTATTATTATAACAACTAGTGATATCGATGACTATCGATAGTCTACTATCGATGATTAATCGATAGCCAACCAATCGTATGACAATCGATCGGCTAATCGATAGTATCGATACTATCCATAGCACAGAACAAGGCAATTCTATCGGATGAGTGAATAACTATCGATAGTATTGTAGTTTGTTAATAACAAACTATCGATAGTATCGATATTGTCGATTTTATTTGCAACCATACTATCGTTAGTATAACAATATGCCATAGTATTGTTTACAATTTTTTTAAATACTGTTACTGTTAAAACATACCTCATACTATTGCAAATTGGCGGCCTATCGATCTTATAGATAGTCTAAAACAATCGATACTATGTATAGTATTGTTGCAGATAAAATCAACAGTATCGTTACTATCAATAGCTTGTTATTAACGAACTACAATAGTATCGATAGTATTGCACTCATTCGATAGTATTGCCTTGTTCTGTACTATCGATAGTTTCAATACTATCGATAGGGTACATGATTATCGATGTAAACTGTCGATAGTTTTAATATAGATATTTCGGCAACACTAATAACAACTTTATCCCTATCCTTTTCGTTCACGTAAACAACTTAATGGAAAACAAGTGTAACCCAAACATCCCACCTTTTGGTCAATTCAAACTAGCGCAAATTCGAAACACACCGAAGCGTCATTCAGAGACGTAACATAGAAAATTCACCCTAATCTCCGCAATAAATAAATTGATTTTTCCAACATTCACACTAATTAGCCTAACTCCAAAGTAAGCACAGTCGGATTGTGTTATGGGATACTTGAGTACCGGAAAGAATACTTATACTGATACATATAAATAAGTAGATTTATATAGAAGAAGTAACAAAAATACACACTCACAAACTTTTGCCTTTATAATATTAGTGTGGTAGTGATGTCGATTCTGGCATGATTCTCTAAAGTTAAACTTAAATTTGACAACAGTGCATCCCTGTCATTCTCTATACAGAATGAAAAGGAGAGACTGATGATAAATTTAGTTTTAAGTTTAGAGAATCATGCCAGAATCGACACCAGTGTGATTATATATTAAACATCCATGATTGGAGTACAAATGCTCGTATTCATCACACAAACATCTGCCCTCACCGAAATTCGAACCCAAAAGGGTACGGAACCTCTCGAGTAAGCGACACCTTGAAACCCGGCGTACAAACCACTCGGCCACGGGGGTCGTCCGAATGTAATGTCCTTATTCCTTCTGAGCTGATAAATCAGCGTTGGACTTTTTGTCTCAGAAGTAGTATGTGCATTACATTGCGGAGATAAGGGTCTCCGCAACATATGCTTTAAGTTTCTGATTGAAGCTTCGATGCGCTAGTATGAATTTACCATTTGGATAATCAGCAGATTTGGAGTCAGTGTATGAGAGTCGTAATGAGAAAGACCCAAATTTTTAGACCTCAACATGAATAGACTAGTCATCAGTTAAAATTGTGGTCAGTGCCAAATTTGCTGAAAACTAACACCTAATGATAAATGGTCAATTCATACTAGCGCAGAGTCGCGTAGAGTCGAAGGGCAAATTTCAGAAACGAAACAAAGAAAATTCACCAATATCTCCGCAACGTAATATACATATTCTTTCTGAGATAAAAAAGAAACTCGTGGATTCGACAGAAATTGCTGATAAACAGCTCAGAAGGATATGTGCATTAAGTTGCTGAGAGAGAAGTGCGGAATTTGCTGATACTGTTTCTGAAATTAGCTTCGATACTCTTCTACTGTGCGCTAGTATGAATTGACCTTGACCACAAAATAGTACGGAAGCTAATCTCGTATGTATAATACTTCACTTTTCATAGCGAGACGCATGGCGGTTGCGCTAAGGTTGTCAACTTGTTTGTGCACAAAAACCTAGTGCCGTAGTGAGATTCTTCGTCCAAAGTAGTGACACACGAGAGTATACAACTAGACTTTGGACGAACATAGTCTAGTTTAATTTATTGTCTAGAATTAAACAAGAAGAATGGTTGTATAAAGTCGACGATATTTAAAACCCTATACATGAACAAAATCGTGGCCGTAATCTAAAAGGTGCATTGAACTATCCACAGAGCTCCGTGGGATGATCGCGTAGCCAAAATCAATATGTCATTATTTAAATTCACCATTAAATCTCAGAATATAAGGTCTTAATTTAAACGCAAAGCGTTATATTTCTGTTTATTTCGATGACTATATCGTTATTGTGAATGGAGACGATAACCGACAGTGCATTTGATTATTACAAATATTTTCTATTAATTCTAGAAACGTGAAACGTTCGCAGACGCGTATCCCAAGCGGATGGAACTTGCGCTCGCAGTGGTCCCAAGCTGTCCGAGATATCGTGAGCGGTGTCTTGTGGTTCAAACCCGAGCAACGCACTGTTCGAGGTTGGGCCACAAAATTGACATAACAGAAAGTAAAAAGTACGCTCGAGCGCAGTAGTAGTTCTCGTTAGTATTATTATTTATTGTTGAATTTTTTTTAAAGCTTTCGTTTCATTGTAGTTTTTTTTATATAAT